AATGTATTCTTTTTGTTTCCACTTTCTCTAAAATGTTCTGGAGTGAGGAATTATCATTATTTACACTATTTATATTAGGACAACTGTCTTCAGCTTTGTTGTTTTTATCACTACGTTTCAGCTATTGTGACCCTCTGGCCTTCCTAGGGTGCATATCGATCTGGATAACGTATAGGGAATTCCAAACTGAACCCTTTATTTAATCTACAGGAGTAAACTGTTCATATTCCACTGCTCATATCAAGGGATCTCATCTAGTTCTTATGTATTTTTAGTACTGTTCAATTATTGCTCACCCATTTCCACTGAGTACAAGTACACATTGCCCAAGACAAAGATTAAATTCACAACCAATATATCACCAAATTCATAAACCAATACTTTTATCTAATAGTACCATGGCCTAGCGGGTAAAAGCATTTGTTTCCACTGAGTACAAGTATACTTGGACTTATTTGAAATAATGAAGCTTCTGGTATTTTAAATTGACTGAATTTCAGAAACCTATTTTCCTGAAAAATTATTTTAATGGAAAGTTTTTACATATTTCAACTGAAAGAAGCATTGGCTGTTAGGTCAATGAATGTTGAATGTTTCCTTATAAGGAATTGGCTAATATTAATATTACCATTACCGGGAAGTGGGGGTCTGAACTCTATATTAAGGGACATTTCATATTAGTTTATACTCATCAGTCTTGTTTGCCTTTCAGTTACCTGTTGTTTCTTTCACTGAACCTGAATATATGATTTGTCAGTACATTTCCAAAAAAATTATTTTAATGGAAAGTTTTTTTCTGGCTTATGGCCATATCACATTGAAATGCTGCTGCTTTCCATATGATCACCAAAGTTAAGTGTCAGTACCTAAATGGGGGGATGACTTGGGAATACCACATGCCGGAAGCTTGGATGTACAGATGGTATAATAGATAATGACTCAGAAATGTTAATTGGAAATTCGAGTTCTAATTGGATTGGTTATATTCACTTACACACAAATACCCTTAGAGGAAGGTATGAATCTACCTCTTCTCCCCCAGCTATGGGTTAATTAGTAAGACTTGTATCACTAAAAATATTTTCTGGATTTAAATAATCTACAAAGGGTTGATATGCCAAATAAAAAAAAAATGAATCAACAAATCAAGTCTGTCTTTCCCAAGAATAGGTCAGCTCAAAGATTCTTCCTTGCTGCTGGTAGCATGTAACCTAGTACAACCTGTTTCATGTTACTTGAAAATGAGATGGGCACAACTTAGTAATTCCCATTACCCTGAGAAATGCCATGAAGAAGAATTATTCAGCATGGAACTTAGACAATATCATTGGTTCAAATGGTTCAACATAGAATATGGAGATAAATTAGATTTTTTTTTTTTTCTAAGAAATTTCTACTTTATTGTGTCTACATTTTAAAGTCTTATTACTGATTAGTAGCTGGGTCCAGGGAAATTCCACAAGTGTCGACAACTAAGATTATCTCATCTCTTCTTTCACTCATTGCCTGTATCTTCTCATTCTCACCTTTACCCCATCCAGTCTACCTTAGTGATCCAGGTTTTTATCTAAATGTTGCAAACATGGATTAATTTTATATGTAATAGAGGAATAAGAAAGGCATATTTTCTCCTGTATCCTCTCACTATCCATTTTATGCTTGTGCTCTTGAAAAAGAATTTTAATATATCACAATTCTTACACCTTTCCATCCCTACCTGCTTTTCAGATTTTTGTTGTCTTTTGATATACAACCAGAATGTGTGTATTTGTTTCTATTCCTTCCTCTCTCTCTCTATATATATATATATATATATATATATTTTTTTTTTTTTTTTTCCTTTCACCTAGTTTTCTTTTCATTTTCTCTAGCTTTCTTATCACCTACCTTTCATGTTTTACACTTTCTTTCCCACTTCCTCTCTCTAGTTTTCATCTAATCACTGACATTAAGCAACATCGAACCTGATGAGTACCCAGGTGGGTGACTGTTTGAGATTACCAGCTACTGTAAGCTTGGATGTGCAGTAGGTGTAATGGATAGCAGCTCGGAAATGGAAATACAAGAGCCAAATTGAACATCTGTGTCCCAGTTCAAATGACGTGATTGCTTTCCTTATTTGGGATGGATCAAGAGAGTTGTCAGCAAAAGATTTTTATGCTAGAAGAAAAATTTAAATAGAATTTTTAAACTTACCAGAATTAAGATAAAAATTTAATCCAAACAGCCCCTCCTGGAGTCCACCACGAAAGTATAAAACCATAATTTTCAGACACCTCAAAAGTGACAACCCTCTACATAACTGGCTACCAGTTAACTCGGACACATTGTCTGAGGACATGCAACAAATTAAGCTAATAACAAAAATAGGATTATGCCACAATTTCATGCATTTTTATTTTAAAAAAAAAAATTATGGAGCTTGTTATGCAATAAATGACACACGTTATAAGCCTAAAATGTTTAAGTTTAAATTTGCATTTAACTATTCTTAAAATTGTGTTGTAACATTTCACTATATGATAACTTGTAACATTAATATGAATTAATCCATATATATAAAATGCAATGTTTGTGTAATATATGTGTGCCTTACTCTGCAAACTTGTCTCTGATATGTTGGCAGTGGTTTGAATTTGGAACTATCCTTCTTCTAGAATGATTGCCCTACCAAGGCTAAAGAACTCAGTCTGCCCTGTTATTTAACTCATAGCTGAGAAGAGATGAATTCATGCCTTTCCCAAAGGTATAAGGGCAAAGAGACTGCAACAGCTTCAGTTGAAATTTTAGCTTGATTTGTTAATTCTATTTATTTTCCACATCAACTATTATACCACCAGCGTACACACACACACATTTATGTGTGTGAATGTGCACATTTATGTGTATGAATGTGCACATTTATGTGTGTGAATGTGCACATTTATGTGTATGAATGTGCTATTAATGTAAACATTATTTTGGTGGATAAACCTTGTTTAAGTAAAAACCCAATTTTTTTGTTTTTGTTTTTTTTTGAACAGTGTAAATTACATCTACTCACCTTCACATTCAAAGACTTAATAGAGAAAAATGTGCTCTCCAGCAGGTTTTGAACCTGCATGCTCTGCCTCCGTTTGTAGGAGAAACCCCTATTTGATCCAATGTGCTCTAAACTGTTTGACCACAGAGTGTATCACAGCCCAGCAAGGTTCAATTACCCTTTTAAATGTTTTAGCCCTGCCAGAGACAACATTTTTCTTAAGTCTCTTATGTAGGCCAGTAGATGTAATTTACATGTTTGTGTTTTTTTTATTTTATTTTTTTAAGGTATCTACTCAAACAAGGAGTAGCCACTAAAATAACATTTCAAGTAACAAAAAATGATATTGGATTAAAAATTAAATCCATTAATTCCTTAGAAATTTTTGTGTCTATAACAATTTTTCAGAGTACACACAGATAATACATTCTCACTCTAAACACAATGCGGGAAACTCTGATAGTTTTTTCCTTAGGATAGAGACCACACATATCCTGATCCTAGGCAGGGGTACCAATCCATGCATAATATTCTCATTTTATGGATACTATGCTAGCATATATATATATATATATATATATATATATATATATATATATATATATATATATATATATATACACACACACACACACACTTATCGCACTTGTTTGAGATGCAAAGAGAGAGAGAGATAGAGAGTAAAAGAGAAAGCTCAAGAGAGGATGTAGACAGACAAAAGACAGTGCAACACATATATTGGAGGGAAGATCATCTTAAATAAAGGCAGTTGTTTGTATGATATGTTGAGACAAATTTGTCCCTGAACAAATGATATTTTGAAATTAAAAAGGAGAGGCATTGAAAGTGGGGTCATCTTAGATAATGGCAGTTGTTTATAGTGAAAGGTTAAATTATATTTTTTGATCTAATGATCTGTTGAGGACAATTCAGTATGTTTAAGAGAGACTGCGCTTTTCTTGTAACTATCTGGGAATGATCATGAAAAGTGTAGCATTAAAAAATTAATTAGTAGATCAGTGTAATTTATACAAGAAATGCTCGTTAATATAATTACTGTTGATATAACATATTTAAGATTTACTTCATGCCTACTTCGTAATCAGTGCCTCGTACTGGGTGCGATCGATAAATTGTCGTCTAAATTATACAAAAAGAAAAATAATACTGACATCCCATTTTAATAGATTTACCAAAATTACACAAAAATATCTTGAAATACTAAAGAGTAAATTTATTCAATAAAATCACTATTGGTTTCAACCATGGCCTCCAGATGACTTTGGAATCTCTTGCAACTCTTCTGGACAGTCTTGTTTAAGCTGCTGAACACTGCCATAATCCTTGCCTTCAGTTGATCTTTGATGTTACAAGGAGTTTTGTTGGTCTCTTGATTAACTGTGCCCCACATATAATAATCAAGGGGGTTGCAGTCTGGGGAGTTAGGTGACCAAATGTAAGGGATGATATTGTCACAGAAATTGTCTGACAGCCATGACTGGGTTCTCCTGCTTGTGTGGTATGGTGCAGAGTCCTGTTGTCAGACATAGGGTCTTTCAGAAGTCACTCTCTTGACCCAGGGCAGCACTACCTCCTCAAGTCACCTGATGTAGGCCTCTGTGTTGATTCTGAGAACCCCCACCCAACAAATTCAGGACTTCTTTTCTTATCAGAATGATCAGAGTGAGTTTTCTGAGCTACCATATCTTTGTAATCACCATTAGACTCATTCAACTCTTTCCGAATCCTCTGCACTGTCCTCAGATTAACACCCAAACACTCTGAGATATTCATATTGGAGCTTCTAGTGCAAAAGCCGAGCAGTACAGCATGCCATTTCCACTATACTATGCAGTCAACAAAATCAAAACAAACAATGCACATATGTGAAATAAAAAAAAATATAAAATGGCGACAATTTACTCATCGCACCCTGTATATGTCTACCCAAAACAGTAAATGGAATTTTCCATTTCAGTTGGAAAGTTGTGCACAAGGAAGAATGTTCTGTGAGATGTGGAACCGGTTTCCAAAAACTGAAAACTCGCTGTGTGCGGACAACTGCCACAAATGATGAAATTGTGGATGAAGACTACTGCTCTCACGTGATGTCAAAACCTGACGAAATGATTGCCTGTGAAGGACAATGCTTACAATCACATTGGTTATACAGCAATTGGTCTGCAGTAAGTTTTACAACTATAAATTGGGACTTTTCTTTTATTTTTAATTTTCTTAGTATAACTTTCTTTTTTAAATTGTCATATAGTATGTAAGAAAACTGGTAAGTTTTAGTCATAAATTTGTGCATTTTTTTAAAATTCTCTTAATGTTGTTAATTACTTTTTAAATTCTGTAGCATTTTTTTCTTTTTAATGGCAACTACCTTTCACCATCTTTGAAGCAGCTTCAGCCTCTTACAGATTGGCGTCTTTTTAGGTGATTAAATGGTCATCTAATTGATTTTTACAAATTTCCAGATAATTGAAGTTCTCCTATTAACCCTGCATTAATCACCTTGGATTTCCAAAAATGGATACTCTCCTGTTGTCTGCCTCTCATGATAACTGAGCTATAACTGTGCTACATACCTTCAAGAAAGTAGAAGGGAGCAAAAGAAAGACGTTGCCAACTAGGAATTATGAGTACTTTGGTAACAAAACCCCTCATGTAACTAATGCAGAGTTAAATGAATTTTTGTAAGGATTGAAGTAGGTGTTAACCTAAAGGTGTAAAGTCAGGTGAGTATGATTATTGTAGTGAAATAACCTAGCTGTACCAATTACTGCCAATTTTCTGCGAAATGACATGAGGTCTGGCATTGTCCTGATGGAAGTGACTGATTGGCCAATTTTTAATGCTTTTCATCATATCGTTCCAATTATGAACAGTACTTCAATATCTGATTTTGCAGCAGGAGCTTGTAATACACAATGCTCATTGGGTCCAATTATTCACTTAATTTGTATCTAATTACTCAAAATAATGCCATTACATTGGGATTGTCACTCACTAGACATAAGACATGAGATTATGAATTAGTTGTGATTTTAAAACTAATAGTAAAAAAAATGAAAATAAAAAAAAAATCCTCATCTCAAGCTGTTATCCCAACTTGAATGCTAAACCAGTTAAAATTTTAGTTGAAACAAAAATAAATTACTTTCTACTAATAAATCTTTTTAGTAGAAAAAAAAAATCATAGTTCACTGGCCACTCACATTTAAATTAGCCCAGAAAAAGTCCATTTTCACATTGATTTTTACATTCAGTAGTGATACTATTAGTTTTATGATACCATTAAATTAGGTACCTCCATGAGATCACGAAAAAAGAGCATAGCATGATGAAAAAGATGCCAAACTTGACAAAAACAAAATTTGATCATCTAAATGTTCATGTTATTATTAAGAGGAAAGATCAAAGTATTTGGGGGTATTTTTTTACATTTTTTAATCGTTCCTAGCATGTCCGAAATTTTCGTTAAAAATCTTGTTTTTTTTTTTTTGTTTTTGTTTTTTTGAGCCAGCAAAATTGACAGATAATCAATCATAGCCACCATTTTTTTTTCATTTTATAAAAAAAAAAATGAAAATCTCAGTTTGAAATTCTTTTAAAAATTAATTATCATTTTTTCAAAACTTATTTTAAGAAAATCGGAAATCATAATGTTTATTTAAAATATTTTGAACCAGGGTTAACTTAGCTTCTGCACCAAAAAGATGTAATTTGAAAATAAAACAAAGCAGGTCATAACTTTTCGTGTCACTTGACAGGTGTTGAATGACATATTGACGGATTACGTGAAGATAATTTGTTCTACGGAAGGAGAAAAGTGAACTTATTTAGATTTAAATGAACAAATTATTTACCTCGTTATTTTTAAGGAAAACTTTTAGCATTATAATTTTCTTTTTTTTTTTGTACTGAGCTTTCACCTTTACGTTTATGATGCTTTATGGTAAATATATTATAAAGAAATTAAAATAAGACTGTTAAGAGTGAGATTAAATTTCATAAGAAAGGTATCTAATTTATAGGTACCTTTCTTATGAAATTTTATCAGAAGTGTACATAAAATACTATACTCCAATTAAAAACAAAAAAAAAAAACAGGATTTACATTCCTCAAAACCTTGTGTTTTAACTATTGTAATCACTAAACTGGATTTGATTGAATTTCTAGTGTTTTCATAAAATTAGTTATGAGGGGTGGGTAATAAATATAAAAAAAATATTTCTGTCATGACTTTAATAAAAAAAAAACATTTATAATAATTTCGATCATCTGTGAATAGTTTCTGAAAGTTTCATTAACATCCGACAATTATTTTTATTTTTGCAAGATTTTCCAAATTAATGTGTGTCATACGAAAAAAACGTGCTAAAAATTGTATGTGTTATTTTACTAGTTCTGGTGATACAAAGAGAAACAAAGTTTTTTAATCAAAATTTAGAATGTTCTAAAAAGAAGGAAAAATTTTTTAAAATAATTAAAAAAAAACTTTGGTCTTACCTCTTCTTTTTTAGCGATCTCATGGAGGTACCTACATTAAATCTATGCCAGTAATGAAAAACAAGTTTCTAATTTCTTATTGAAATTTACACTAAAGCTTTTTGCTTACCATTAGCTTTTATTGTCATGAAAAACAAAACAATACAAAAATCCTCCAGCCTTTTTTTTTTTTTTTTTTATAAATAAAAAGAAAATTACATAAACTAACACCATTCGTGCTAACACCTAATATAGATGGTCATTAACTATGAGGAAAAATTGGGTTTGTGTTGCAGTTAATTTTACATCTTCAATGTTTCATCCCAGGCAACACTGAGAACTTCTGCTAGTGTATGTGTGTGTATATATATATATATATATATATATAGTTCAACCTTATTGAGTTTGATTATTATGTCTAATAGGTTTGTATCTTGGGGATATAATAATAATAAGATGTCATCTTAGGTAAGTAGAGCTGTTTGGTATGATGTGTCTAAATGGACCGAATTTTAAGAATTCTAGACGAAGTTAAGTGAGAACACCACTGATAAGTGACCCCATAGGCAAGCCAAATTTTTGCTTTGCAGCGAATATTGTTGAAAGAGAAGAAGCAGCAGTTAGTGGTTAGTTTGAATATTTTTATAATTTTTCAGACAGGTAAAGGAAGCTTTTCTTTTAACTTTTTGAGGTGGTTTCTCAATATGTTGGGGTATTTCGTGATGGATATGTTGATGTATAGTGATTTGATGTCTAAGCTCGCCATAACCATGTTTTCTATAAGTTCTGAGTATTGACTTCAATTTCTACTTTTATATTTACATACACTCTATCACTTATATTGAGCACTTTAACCTATAAATATACCATACTTTAAAACTATATTTTTATCATAGATGTGTGTGTTTATATCAGGTCATCCCATAAGTTCTGTCCGAATTTTGAATAAAAAAAACAAGTGACCAAATGTTACATTTAATTACAGATTCAATCAACAATGTATTTTCCCTGATTATCTGACTTCCTTCCATCTATTAACAAGCTTACTAATTCCATTACTATAAAATTCTTTTGGCTTTGATTCGAAGAACTCACAAATGTCAGTTTTAACCTCTTCCTGTGTTACAAAAGCTATTTCTTCCAAATGATTCTGTAAGCTACGAAACAAATGGTAGTCTGAAGGAGCAAGATCGGAAGAATAAGGTGGATGAGGAATTTTCTCCCAACCAAGTTCTTCGATCTTTTGTGACGTGATAGTTGCTGTGTGGTATAGCACATTGTCCTGATGAAACATCACCCCTTTTCAATTCACTAGAGCAGGTCTTTTTTTCCTCAAAGCTTGGTTCATACGCTCTAATTGCTGACAGTATATTTGAGCATTAATTGTTGCATTAGGTGGTAAAAATTCAAAGTGGATTATTCCTTGGCAATCCCACCAGATTGAAAGAACCTTTTGCCCACGACGTTCCCTTCTCGGCTGTGGCTGGGGTCCTTCCCCTTTACTAAGCCACTGTCTACAATGCTTAACATTTCGATAAAAGATCCATTTTTCGTCGCCAGTCACAAGTCTATCCAAAAAAGGTGAAACAAGTTAGCGAGAATGGAGAGAAGAGCAGATGTCAACTTGGGATTTGAGGCTGTTTTCAGACCATTCATGAGGCACCCATTTTCCAAGTTTAGGGACTTTTCCAAGTTGTTGAAGATGACAATGAACAGTTGTATGGTTTGAACTGAGAACCACTGCCAATTCCTCAACTGATAAAGCAGGATTTTCTTCAAGGGTTGCTACAAGAAGCTTTTCATCAAACTCAACTGGACGTCTGGTTCGATCTTCATCTTCAAGGGTGAAATCTCCACCTCTGAATTTTGCAAACCATCTTCTGCAAGTTCTTTCATTCACACATTCCTCTCCATAAACTGGATGTTTATAAATGTTTCTAGCCGCTTCGGCTGCTGAGTTTCTTTTTTTGAACTCATAAAGCATTATGTGCCTCAAATGATTCTTGGGTACTTGCATGTTAGCAGGGTTTTAATCAAACAAAATTTAATTTTATTGTTCTCTGAAATAAAATTTGATCAGTTTAAATGCATCTAAACATAAAAATAAGGTTCAGCTCCATTAGACATTATAAAATACTCTTTAACTTTCGTTCATTTTAAACAGAACTTATGGGATGACCTGATAAATGTTTATAAGTTTCGGTGTTTTATTATTATTACTACTTCATGTGAAACACTTAACAGATGCAAGATACGAAGCTTTGAGCAACCCAGAAACGTCATCTATTTTTTTTTTACTTATTTCTTTTGATTTTGGTCTTTTCAGTGCAGTAAAACTTGTGGTACAGGAATCCAAAACCGTATGGCAATATGTATTGATGAACAAAACAAACAACTGGCTGACAGTGAATGTAGTGTTCAGAATAGAATTACAAGTCGATTGTGTAATGAGTACAAATGTGCCAGTTGGGCCTATGGAGAATGGACAGGGGTTAGTGGACATTTTGCTTGTTTGTTTGTTTTGTTTTTTTTTGTTTTTTTTTTGGTCCCTCCCCCCTTTATTTGTGTCTCTGCATTTGTTTTTTTTCTTTTTGTTGCTTGCATGTCTTTTTTTTTTCCTTTTTATTGCCTGCATGTCTGTCTTTTTCTTTTTGTTATTTGGGTATCGGTTTTTCCTTTTTTTTTTTTTTTTTGTGTGTGTGTGTGTTTTGCATGCATGTGCTTGTTCTTTTTTGCTTGTTCTTTTTTGCGTGTGTGTGTATTTATCCTTTTTTCTCCGTTTATCTTTTTTCTGTTTGTTTTTCTCTTTTATGTGTGTTGTGTGTTTGTTTTTTCTGTGTTTGTTTGTTCTTTTTGTGTCTCTTTATCCTTTTTTTTATGTATGTGTCAGTTTATCTTTTTTTCTTTTTCTTTTTTTTTTTTTTTTTTGTTCGTTTTTCTTTTTGTGTGTGTGTGTTTGTTTTTCCTTTCTTAACTAGTTTACTTCAAGGAACATTCTACAAATGGATATGTCAAAATCACAAGTGCAGAAATTTAAATATCTTGAAAGTGGTTTAACAAATGACAGGAAATATGGCACTGAAATTCAAAGATGCATTGTTAGGTTAATAGCAAAAGATTCCTTCCAAAAACTAAAAATACTAAGAAAGTGGAAAATTTCATTAGAAACAAAGAAAAGAGTTGAATTACAACGTAATAACAATCCTCCTATATGACAGGGAATGCTGGAAATTTCTTTCCCAGATGAAGAGGCTTGAAATAACAGAAATATGGTTTAACAGAAGGTTGCTGAGAATACCATGGATGGAACATGTGAGAAATGAGGAAGTTTTAAGGAAAAAAACTGATACTCATTTTTAGAATCAGTAAGAGTCAGTTGAAACTTTTTGATATACATAATGAGGGAAGATGACTTTGAAAATTTGACACTACTAGGATATATTGAAGGCAAGTGGTGGGGGGAGAAGGAAATGGTAAATAACCTACCTAATAAGCTTATGTAAAGGGATGGAAGAACAAGGAGAGGTGATAGTAAACTTAGAGATACAAGAGATAGAAAACTGTGGAGAGCCATGATCATCTACATTCTGATGGGGACAATTCACATAGAATAAAACTAACTAATAATACCCACCTTATGGAATGTTAGTAAAAAATCAGGTGTATTCTCTTCTTTTTGAAACTGCCCTGGTTAATACTATTTAAAAAAAAAAAAAAAGGAAAACATATTGCAATTTTACGACCATAATGGTAATATTACACATTTATTTATATGGAAGCATTACGCGTGCATTGGCCGAACTACTAGTGTTACTGTTGGTTGAAATTTATGAAGACTTTCTATAAAACCAATTTTTCTGGAAAATAGGTTTCTCAAGTCCACTAGCTGTTATTGTTATTGATAGAAGTTTTCTTTTCTAACGTTTTGTTCAAAGTAATATGAAATGATAACATCTCGATTATGTCATTGTATTCTCTTTGAGTTATATGTGCTATCCATTTTAGTTGTTGCTGCTGTTGAAACTTTTCAAGGGATGGGATTTCTGTTATTTAGTACATGGATTCATACCTTTCCCAAGGGCATTTACAAGTAAGCGAATGTAATGAACTCGACTGGAATTTGAACTCTCTGATTTCTCATTCCAAGCTGCTATCCATCACAGCACTTGATATTTCCAAGTGGTCACCCATCTAGGTACTGACCAGGCTCAAGATTGCTTAACTTTGGTGATCTTACAATAAACAGTGTTTCAACATGATATGACCGTAGGTCTATATTAATGAATATAGTAAAAAAAAAAAAAAATAATAATAATAATGAAAGAAAACTTTTTTTCTTCTTTTTTTTTCTTTCTTTTTTTTTTTTCTTCTTTTTTTTTGTCTTCTGTCTGTATTTTTGTCTTTTGATCGTGGAAGAGAAAAAAGATTTTTAAATTTGCATTTTATATTTAGCTATTACTTTTGGACAAATAGAAGAAAAACCTTTTGAGTAATGCTGAAGATATAATTATTCTATGTTTTTATTTGTCCAGTGCTCAGCAACATGTGGTCATGCCAAGAAACATCGGGATGTCTGGTGTCAAAATGATGCTGACCAAAAGCTCCCTGATGAACACTGCAGCAATGAAAACAAACCAATATCTTATATAAAATGCAATTTAACAGAATGTCCTACATGGTTCCATGGTGCCTGGGGACCGGTATGTATTTTTATTCTCTTTTTTTTTTTTTTTTTTATTTCATGAATGGTTTTCATTAATTTACTAGCATTATATCACATTTTTATTAAACATTAAAACTACTTTCATTTGCTGTAATAATTATCTACAGTGACACAGAAATTCTGGTTAATGTATAACTATGAACTCACCTGTCATTTTGACATTAAGGTTTTAATGTTTTAGTTTAGAATTGAACCACTAGCCTACCATACATATTTGATTATAAAAAAAACTTACAATACTCGTAAGCCAGAAGAATTGATATTGGAGAAATGGTACACAGTGTGTGATAAAGTCGCTAAACAACTCTCCTCAGTTTCCCTTCTAGAATGGCTACCAAACAAAACAACCCAGTTTGCCTTACTATTTAACCCATACCTAAAAGGAAAATGGATTTATACCTTTTCCAAGGGCATTAGTGTGAAGTGAAAGAAACGAAATCAAGCAGTATTTAAACTCTATTCAGCAGTTCCATTTTCTGTGCCGATATTTGTTGCACACACACACACAAACACACATTCAAACTGTCTGCATCTTTATTGTTGTCACAACATTGTGCTCTCTAGCCTCCTTCATGTGTCTGTCAATTCAGATAACTTTCAAGCAATTTCAAACTGAACACTTTATTTAATCTATTGGAATAGATTGTTCTTAGTCCACTATCCATGTCACCAAATTCATAAACTAATGCTTTAATCCTCTGGACCAATAGTTTCCAAACTATTTTTTCTCTGGGCCACATTTTCTGAATGAAAATTTGCTTACACCTCACCAAATTTTATGTGATAAAAGTACATTTAAAAATAAAAAAAAAACAGAGTGAGAGTTAAAGGGAGATAACCATGGATTCATAGTCAGTACATTATCATTGATAACTCTCTCCAAGTTGCAAACCCTAGTTACTATATTCTTAATACTTGATTTAATGCAAGAATGTAACAATGAAAATATCGGTTATTAATTATTAATAACTATTTATACTGGGACTCATGCATGCAATTGCAAGTAATCCATAATAATATTTTCAATTTTGAAATCCTATTTAATTTTGGCATATGAATTTTTTGAAACTGTAAATCTTTGATTGTCTTTCAATCATTCCACCTCACCTGTTATCCTCTTCCAACACACTTGTGAGATGCGCTACACTATTTGGAAACTACTGCTCCAGGCTAGTGTCTTGTGGGATACCAGAAAAAAGCTAGAGGTTAAAATGGCTGAAACCTAATAATTACAAAAAAAGATGATGACTGTAAATAATTCCTGATCCCAGGAATTCAGACAGAAAATATATTTTTTAATTTTTAAATGGATTTTTTTTTAATCTGACATTATTGATCATTATTACAAACATTAGTTTGTACACATGTTGAAATTGATATCTCTGTTTTTTTTAATTATTTTCTTAAACAGTGAAATTAAATCTAGGCTGGTTGACATTAATTTCACTGTTTAAAAAAAAAAGTAAAAATGGTGATATCAATTCAAACACATGTGCTCACTAAAGATAATGGATTGAATAATAAGTCAAATACAATAATGATATATATATATATATATATATATATATATATATATATATATATATATATATAAAATTTTCTTTTTTAAAGATTCCATCGTGACAGAAATTTCTGTGTTTCAAAACTGAAACTAAATTTATAAGTGATAAAAATTAAACTTAAAATCCATAGTTACATTCCATTGTCAAGAGATATTCGAAAATTTCAAACATCACTAGACAATGGAGTGAAACTATGGATTTTAAGTTTAATTTTTATAATTAAACTTATACATTTAGTTTCAGTTTTGAAATTTCTGTGTTGCGATGGAATCATATTTTTAAGAGAAAATAATTATAATATTTTGCTCTACTGTTTGTATCAAGCCTTGTTTTTTAAAAATAAAAATAATTGCTAAGGACATTGGATTATAAATCTTACTGTTCTCTTTTATAATTTTTATATATATATATATATATATATATATATATAAAAGGTTATTAAGCAGCAAAAATTCATCCAAACAACAAATTTTATTAAACTGACAAGTTACCAATTTTCAAATAATTGTACACTAGAATCAAAATTAGGCTTAAAGTTTTTTTGTTTTTTTTTTAATCATTTCACCCCAAGTAAAGCCACTAAGATTCAAGGGGTTACTGAATGTGAAAGAATATAAAAAAAAAACATTTAAGGAGCAAGAACAATAAAAGAACAAGAATTAAGAAGATATAAGATAACAATTGACATTGCATTTAAATTGGAAATCAAGAGGCTGGAAGAGTGACGCAAGCAATAAATGTGAGAGAAGAATCTGTTAGCATAGAAATTATGGTTACGTCTAGCGATTTCAACAGTAAAAAGAAACAACCTACCTGCTAATCTAGTACTGCACTTAAATTCATAAAGTTGAGGTACCAAAGAGGAAAGCACCTCAGAACAATTGCCATGAAAATATTTATAGAAAAGGCACACAAGGGAAACTACATTATGTCAGTGGGGAAGTGACTGAAGCCAAGATGCCTGGTCAGGACTTGCAGATTCTTCTTTGGAGTTTACAATTATTCAATGTATAGAAGAATGGTAGACTTATAAATATGTAAGATAGATTCTGTCGAGAAAAATTGTCTAGCATGACTCAGTGAACCAACTTTCCTAGTAGCAGACCTAGCAATTGATTCAATATAATCTTTGCACTTCATGGCAGTGAAAAATGTTAGCCCAAGAAGGTGCAATAATTTACTTGCCTGGAGGTTAGCATCAGTCATGCTGATGAAAGGTAAAAAAAAGTTTCTCTAAGACGGTTAAAAGAGAGCAGTTTCATTTTGGAGGTGCTGAAATTAGCAAAAGCCATTTCAAAGTTCCTGCTTTGTTCTGTTTTTGTTCAAGTACTTTTAATAGTCTCTTTGAAAAATACAAGAGAAAAATAATTAAACATATAATTTTAGTTGAATTTTTGATCTGTTAATTTTTTTTTTTTTCCCCTCTCCCGTTTCAGTGTTCAATGACTTGTGGTGTTGGTTGGAAGAAAAGATCTGTTCGTTGCCGTACAATTCAGGGAGTTTCAGCAGATGAAGCTGCTTGTCGTGCAGATTTAAAACCTTTGGTCTTGGAACCTTGCCAAATAGCAGAGTGTACAACAGCTCGTCCACCACCTCCCACTGAAGTCACTCCGAGAGAAGATATTGCAAAATGGCGATATGGCAGATGGACAGAGGTCAGTTAATTTCATTCACCTTAAAATCCATTAAAATAAAACATTTGTCAAGCATCCATCTCAATAAATACATAAATTATATATATATATATATATATATATATATATATATGAGACAGCTCGGACTGTTTACTTGAGTTTCACACTCTTGCAATCTTCAGATGACTAGAACACCTGAAGATCATGGTAGCATGAAACCTTAGTAATGGCCCGGGCTGTCCTTTGGTAGAAGTTAACGTTATGAGCCATATTTTTGGTCTATCTAGGTAATCTGGGCATTGAGCACTTTACTGGGTAAGTAGGTGGTTGCCTTTAGGTGTCTATTTTTTTTTTCTTCTTCTTTTCTTGTTTATTCATGTATTTTTTTTTCTTAGGTATTAGGTCTTCTGACAAGTTGTCTGTTGGTTATATCAACATAGTTGGGTTTTCTTTAGTAGTGTGTGTGTGTGTATATATATGTATATGTATGTAGGGTTTCAATCCAGGCTTGAGGCATTCAGTTGTCTACATTGAGGAGCTGTGATACAGAAAAACAGTACTGCCTATGAATGACATTATATATATATATATATATATATATATATATATATATATATATAGTTTATGCAAAGTTTAGGTAATCTGTAATGGGTAGACCCAAGGAGGATGATATCCAGAGAGCTCAATGTAAATTCAGAGCAGATATGTTTGAATAAAAACAGACTACTTTAAGGTTCCATGTAATAAGTTATTTCACCACAACCCCTTTAACAGGGCTCTGGATCATCAGACTTTACTTCCAAAGGTTAAAATGAAAAGAAATTCACACATTTTTGACGGACCGCATCAAGTATATTTAAAATTGAGGAAGTGAGGTGGGAGAGAAGACACGAGTGAGTTAGATGTACCATTTTCAATTCCTTATCCTTAACCCCACTCTGTGTAGGCTAGACGTCACTTAAACTTAATGCGTGTTATCTCTAGATATAGATGGGTAAGGGGTGAGGGAGAAGACTGACATTAAAGGAAGAAGCTACAACAACCCTAATAAATTACATTTCACGAGGGCAGGTTTCATTCAAAATCTTAGACGCTGTTAATTCACATTACTTTAAAGGGCATATTTGGAGGTTGAGGTTTGATATAAATCTAAATGTCTAAACAATCTACGAAGAATTTAATTTGGAGTTTTGGGTATTTTCTATGAAATAGTTGATTGGAAAAACTCATAGGAAGTACCTTTGATGATCCAGAGCCCTGTTAAAGGGGTTGTGGTGAAATAACTTATTACATGGAACCTTAAAGTGGTCTGTTTTTATTCAAACAAATATATATATATATATATATATGGGCACATCGCTTTCTGAGCATAAGACCTGGGTTTGAATCTCACCATGGGCAATTTGTCTTCCTGATGTTCTCAATCTGGAGGTGGGACAATCCCAGCGTGCAGCACCTTTAGAAAGTGCCTGAAAAACCATGCCACAAGTTGAGCCAAGCCTTGAGTGAAATTGGGTAGACGGAACACTTGGGGTCATTGATATCTGTGCTAGCACAAAGTCACAAGTCATCGTGACCGAGGGTTTGAGTGTGCTGTTGTTGTTCAGATTGTTGATCATCCTAGATAACACGCTCGCTCCCAGAAACTGTAACTAAGGTCTGCTCAGGATAGTTGCAGTATAAACATGTGCCTGAGCGAGAGTCTGCAATAGGGATTGGCGAGCTGCCCTAGTAGATATGTATCCTTGAATAAGATTGGCCATCTTTTTTTTTTTATTTATATAATATATATATATAAATATATATATATATATATATAATACACACACACACACTTAGGAAACATCTAGCACTTTTTTTTTTTTTTTAGGAAAGTAAGTGGGGTAACTCTACATTACTCAGCTGAAAAAGAAAGAAAAAACATTAAAAATTACCCATTAAGCATTGTGTTTGTTTATGAAAGTTTAGTCATCAGTCACCTGGAGCAAAGAAGTCATCCCAGGTAGGGATGAATCTTGTGTTGGCTGTGCTACCTACTGCATGTTAGATTGAAAAGACAAAGAGGAGGATTATTTTTGTTTTTTTATACCTTAAACGGTGCCACCTAGCAGGTGTCTTGGCATACCAAATGGAGGTAATCTCCACAAGAACTTATTGTAATTTTAGGGGAAGCCTGATCTACCTGGAAAAAAATAAAATAATGTGTAACCTGTATAAGGAACAATCAGCTTGCATGCACATAGAGAAGTCATTAATACACAAAACTGAAAAAAGATACAAGGATGTATTTTTTTCACCAGATTAAGAAGATTAGAAAACTTATCGGGATTTCATATATGGAGGGCAGAATAAGTACCACAAAATACTCAGATCGATCGTAAATGAACGAATATTGCTGAAAACAAATAATTGGCCACACACATCATGAAGATGGCACAAAATAGTAACACTAAAAAAGCCATCACACACTAATTCTTATTACATACGAGTTATCGCCCTTTAACTTAATTTCTCACAACTGTACAATTTACATTCAAATCAGTTGTTTTTAAACAATCTTTTTATTCTATGACAATACGTTACATGATTATTTTATCTGCTATATAAATAAATTACACAAAATTTCGAATTATTTTTAAACAGTTTCTCATTTTAAAACAATGTCTGTTTCTTTTATTTTACAAGAATTATTCAATATAAGCCACAATATTTACTAGGAGTGATTTTGTTTATTCAAACATGATGCATTGTGAGACTGAACTTTTCAAGTTATCATGTAAAAGTTCTGAAAACCTGAATGAAAATACATTGTTTAAAAATACAATCATACAAACAATGATTTTTCACAATTGAAAAAAAAAAAAATAAATAAATAGCAACTGCTAGGATAGCATATCAACTTAAATGGAATCTACTTATAGGTAGGCAAGGTTCTGTGTTTAGTGTATCTGAAAAGGAAATCTTTTCATTGTTGAAACCTGACTAGAATCTTATTGTCCAATACTTCTATTGGGCAATTGGTTTGTTTGAATGATACATTGGAAGTAAAATAGATATTTTTCTAAGCAAAGAGGTTCACCAGTAAATTTGCTGCATGACAAAACCTATTTTGCAAATTAAATGCAGCAAATGATCACAGAACGAGGATCTCTCCCGCACGCATCCTATTTTCCACACTGTTTACCTTTAGTCACTCATAGTTTGGTCAGCAGTTTGAAGAATATAATTTGGCTTATTCCAACTATCATTCTAACCTTTTGATTGTTATAGATGTTATTATAGACATGGTATTTCAGCCAAGTGTACACTGATTATCTTCAGGTGTCCCTTATTTTTGGATATGTGGAATATCTTATAAACCAACATTACAGCAACAAAGTTAACAATCAACACATAGCATATCCGATATAGCTAGAAATAATAGACATTTTAAGATAGCCATAAAATACTTGGCCATAATATAGTGTTCATAATAATGTTTGTAACAACCAAATATGAGAAAAATAATTTGGATAAATCAAATTATTAACAATTCCTCATTTCACAAATAAAAACAAACATTATCATAAGCATTTCGAACGTGTGATACTTATGTCAAAATCATCTGATATTGGATTTAACAACTCTACAACTACACCTCCTTTGGGATGGTGGTGTAGTGGATTTGGTTAGTCAAGTGTTGTCATGTAGTGACCATGAGTTCAATTACTGGATCAGGTTGTGAAACAATAGGAAGAAACAAGAACTGGCATCACATAGGCAAAATTAATACAAATATTCAACACATAAGATATCTCATATATACAAAAATAATGGACAACTGATGATGTCTAGAGGTTATTTGACTTTTGTTTCTACAATAATATCTATAACAAAGATGAGAATAATAGCTTGAATAAGTTCAGTTATATTGATAATTATAAAATTATCTGAAAAAGCAAAACAAAAAACAGTTCTGAAAAGTTGAATATATTGAAATATGACTTAGAAAATGTAATCAAGTTAAAACCATAATCACTTTTTGTGACTGAATATAAAATTTAATTGAAAGTTGGGTTAAAGTTATAGGAAGCCAAGTAAAATATCTGGAATTTATAGGAATAAAATATCTTGTTAAAAAAATGCTGCTGACTTTTGCATTAACCTGATAATAAAATGTGATATTTTTCAGCATAGATAAATTCAAATTGCTTAATTCAAAATTTTTTTTTTTTTTTTTTTTTTTTTTGGTAGTGTTCTGCTGTCTGCGGTGCTGAAGGTGAAAGGCAACGTTATGTTCGCTGTACAGATGACACTGGCCATACAAGAGACAATTCTGAATGTGAACATCTTCCAAGACCAGTTTCAGTTGAAAAATGCTCATCCAAGCCATGTGGTATCTGGCAAACTGGACAATGGGGAGAGGTCAGTTTCATATTCAGTATACATCCATGTGCCATGTACCTCCAGGATGTGAGAGATCATGGCTCTCCACAACTTCTTATTCTTTTTAGCTCTCAGCTAATGTTACTATCACTCCTACTGCCTGTTCTACTATTCATTTACCATTTTTTTTAAGTAGGTTATTTGCTGTTTCCCTCTATTTTTCTCGCCTTCAATATGTCTTTTGAGCATCAAATTCTACAAGCCTTCTTTCCTCATTAGGTGTCTTAGAAATATCAACTCTCTCCTAAGTATAAGTGTCCTTTTTGTTTCCACTTTCTTTAAAACTTCCTTGTTGCTTACATGCTCTGTCAGTGGTATTCTTAGTATGCTTCTGTCGAACCCCATTCTAGCAGAAATTCACAGTTTCTCGAGGTATCACTATAAAATGCTGCTGTTTCTAATGGTCTAAAAATATTCAGTAAAATATCTCCTGTACTTTACTGATAAATTACATAAGAAAATTCCCTTCATTTTCAGTGTACTGTGACGTGTGGAGAAGGTACCCAGACACGCATGGTTGGTTGCGTGCATTTGGACCACCAAGTTGAAGAAGAAAAATGTTTCAAGGATTTGAAGCCTGTGTCTGTACAGGTGTGCAGACGTCAGGAATGTGCACCTGTGTTGGCAAGTAGTTTGCACAATACTTCAAATTGGAGGGCAGGAGAATGGAGTGGGGTAAGTAACTAATTTTTGACAGGTTAATGAGGTTCTTGCATACTTAGTAGGGGAATCACTTGATTTGTCTGTACTCAACAGCTGGGATGTGAATACTGTTTTGAAGACTTTTGCAGAATGACTTGTATAAAATCACTCCATTCTTGTGGCCTTGTGCTATGCTAAACTTAGCTTAATAAATATCTATGGCATTTTACCACTATATTCAATATGATCCTCACTAAGTGCTACATATTTATGGCTTTTTGGTATACCAATCTTAGTTTAGTATATTACAGGGATGGCTAAACTTACTTAAGGTAAGAGACACAGCCACATATGATAAAATTCAGACGTGTGGGAGCCACAAGACATAAACAAAATTTATACATGTGACACATGGTAGATAAGGTACAAAGGTTTACCTCCTTTAACATTAAATGCAAAATCTTCCTCACGTTCTGGCTTAAAATTTCTGTTTTCATCTTCATATTTTCGGGTTGTTTTTTTTTTTTTTTTTTTTTTTTTTTGTTTTTTTTTTTTTACAATTTAAGGAGGCCATCTTCCTTCACAAAATTTTCACAGACACTTGTAAACAAAACATGTATCTGAAATGTACCAACTAGGTCTGCATAGTTCAACTTCTTGTGTTACTCTGCATTAACGTACACGACGTGAGTACAGTCCCCTTAATCACCTTAACCATAACTGCAGTCTTCTGATATTCCTCTGTAAACCTTGCTAACCAGAAATTCCTCTGTCTTAGGTATGACTATAAACTAATAAACTACATCCGTGTCCAGGGTAAGACAATAAACTACGTCCAACAGCAAGGTCTCTGATCAAGATACTTTGAGGTGCATGGAACCACCTCTTAATTGCTGATGTTCCCAGGTTCGCCCTGACCTGGAGTGATAGCACCTGTTAGGGTCCCAGCTATGGGCAAATAGTTAACCCTGAAACTGAGGTAAAAAACATTATAAAAGTGTAAAAATAAGTTTTAATACCAGAAATACTTTGTAAAAAATTATTACCAGAAATAAATTTTTGAAGAAAATAAAATATTACCAGCTATATGTTTTTGAAAAAATAATATTACCAGCTATACATTTTTGAAAAAAAATATTACCAAAAAAAAAAAAAAAAAAAAAAGTCAGCATTAAATGACCCATTGAGGTTGATATGCCGTAAAACAAACCAAACCAGAAATTCCTTTAATCTTTCTGCCTCCTACCATTCCTTTCCTCACCACTAAAAAATAAAGTCTCACTCAGATCTTGCATTAAAATTAGGATTTAAATTCTTAAATATTTTTACTAAGCATGAACATTAAAGTTAAATTTTAATCCAATGGGGTCTCATTTCAAACCCAGTAAACAATTATAAAGCTTGGAATTTTTCTTATTGACCTTTTTATATTAACAGTGATAAAAAAAGGAGCTCAGCAAACATATTTCCATGAGCCACATATTAAAGATCAAAAAGCCGTGGTTTGGCCACCCTTGGTATTTTAGAAGATTCTACTCTAGCATGATGGTTAGCAAACTATCTTACATTACTAGCATAATGAGTTAATTGGATGAATAACTATTGTGTTCTTGTGACAGACTATGCCAGTTTAGTAAATTAGCATTTGCTTTCTTGTTTTCTGAAATTTTAAAAATTTTTGTTCTGAAGATGGGGAGGTCCTCCTCTTCTGTACAGTTTATATATTTATGTAAAACTAAAGAATGGATTAGTTAAGACTGGTATCTATGATCTGGAAAAAAACAACTAATAACAATGATGACTAGCTGAACTGTTTATCTTTCTTTGCTATTTTTTAAAAAAAAGCTTTCAAATGTTAATACTATTTTCATTGTTCTTCTTCAGTGTTCCAGTACATGTGGTGCTGGTTGGCAGCGTAGGAGAGTTGCCTGTAACTATGAAGACCCCAAGTATTGCAATGTTCTTACCAAACCAATGGAGAAAAGATCTTGCAATAGTGGTCCTTGTCCAACATGGAACTATGGTGATTGGAATTCTGTAAGTTTCATTTTTTTTTTTTTTTTTTTTTCGTAAAAAGGAAAGATATTCTAAACAGGATTGCCAGATTTGGTTACAAATAGTAAATTGGGTTAATTTTTGGGACAAAAAAAAGCTTTAAACTCTTTTGTTTCTTTCCTTGCAAACAATGCCCACAATCAGTTTCCTCTCAAACACTCTACTGTCCACAACACATGTAACGTGTTTGATACAGCAGTAAACCATCTTCCTGTCACATTGTTCTCCCTGTTTTTTATGCATCATTGACAGCCCAAATTTGCATAATCACAAAGATAATCTTGCAAGAGAGTATCTTACTCTGGGATCTAGCTGTTTTAAATATGTAACTCATGAAACTACCATTTTTTTATTTGGACAGTTTACACATGCGGCATGTTTGAATCTTTGTTTGCAATGGAGGAGGAAACTTATTTTATTCTTGATTTTTTTCTTTTTTCTTTTTTTTTCCTTTTTTTTTTTTCTTTTTTTTTTTTTTTTTTTTTTTTTTTTTCTAGCATTGCAAAAAATACATGCTACTCTGGGTCTCTTTCTTTAGTGTGACTAAATTTTGAATTGACAATTCTCCTTAGTAGTCTGACTTAGTCTAATTTATTTTAAATGGTAATAGTAATATTAGCCATTTTCTTGTAGGAAATCATTCAGCATGTATTGATCAGTGGTACTTTAAGGTAAAATTTATAATTTTTTATGAAAACTATTTGTCAGGAAAATAAATTTCTCAAGTTCATTTAACAGTTATTGCTCTTGTCAGTATTGATGGCATTTTCCTTCCTAACCTTTTGGATGAAGTAGTGTGGAAGGTCAAGATCTTGAGTATATTATTTTCTCTTCAAGTTGCATGTAATATCTATTTTAGCTTTTGCTGCTGTTGAGTCTTCAAGTGATGTGCTTTCTATTTGGTAAAGTTCTTTGTCATTCTGTAGTGCCAGTTCATCAGGTTTGAAAAAGGATGGTTCTCTCTAAGACCTATATGTCTCATTGGCTCAAAACCATTTTTAACCATTGATCTGAGAAAGTAGTTGTATACAGCTGACACTTTAGATATTTCTGAATGAGTTTGGCACTATGCATGACATCCATATGAACATCTTGATCAGACAAGGCTATTTAAAAACATGACTTGAGTTTTTAGGTTAATTGATTGATTCAATTTTTATGGTTTATCAACCTTTTGAAGGCAGAAAATATTTTTAGATTGTAAAATTATTTTTTTTTTAATTTTATTTTTAGATAATAATGATTTAGTGGGGGAGAAAAGGTGGATTCATTCTTTTCCCAAGGGTATTTGCATGTAAGTGAATATAATGAACCCAAATGGAATTGGAACTTGGCTCTCTGGTTAACAATTCCAAGCCATTATCCATTACACCACCCACACATCTAAGCTTACAGTACTTTGTATTCCCAAGTGGTCACTCGTCTAGGTATTGACTAGACTCGACATTGCTTAACTTCAGTGATCATGTGGGAACTGGTGTTTCAATGTGATGTGGTCATAAGCCTTTTTCAGGTTAAAATTTTGGCTTTGAAACAAATTGTGGTTTTGTGTAAAACTACCTATAGCACAGCTTATTCTATGTTCAATTTCCTCATTGTTATAACTAATCCATACATTGAAGTATTTAGTACTTACTAATTCCAAATCTTGAATTTTTATGATGAATTTTGGGTATGTGCCATCATTGCTTTTATTCCAATTCCAGTTCATAGTTTCTTTTTTGGAAAAGTTTATCTCTAGTTCTATTTCTTGGAACACTTAAAAAGTAATCCTAAAAGTCATATTTAGTGAAAATATAAATTTATTAGTTCTGGGATTTCAAAAGAAGCCCAGTCTGACAATCCTGATTCTGAATTTATAATTACTTGCTGTAACCATCAGTATATGCTATGCTTTAACAGTGTGGGTTTGAAACAGAAACATAATGATATTATAGCCGAGTTGTTTCAATCAGTTTTGGTCTGTTTAGATTAAAGGTTAAACATAATAGAAAGGTTGTTCTCATTAAAATTCATGGCAATCAACTATAAAAAAAAAAGAGAAAAGCTTTTATCTCAAGCTGCTTCTGATAAGATTTGATAAAAGAGTCACTTGGTTGAAATATAGTACAAGATTAATTTTAAAATAAGATTTATTCTGACTTAGAAAATATTTTGTATTAACCATTTATAACAATCATTTTTAGTTCACGTTTAATCAATGACATAAAAGGTTGGTGAAACTTTTTTTTAAAGTTCAAATGATTTATCATTTTATAAAAGAGTTCACTAAAAGAGAACTGTCAATATTTACAAATTTAAATGATACCAAGAAATATGGAGAAGTAGTTTGCATGGTTTTAGAATGAATTTCAAAATTCAGATAAAAAAAAAAAATGATTTTACTTGTGTAGAAGTTAAAGATCTCTTGATGATATGGAATATTCTACTTATAAGTCACCCTAGGCTCCAGAAGATTTTTGCTTTTAGGTGGGAAATTCTTTCATTAACTGAAATCCTTTCTTAATTTATTTTATTTTTCATCCAGAAGCTATGTGTCGTGTCATACAATTTGTGTAAATACATGTTTTTGCTTATTTGTATTTTATCCATGGAATAATTAACTTCCATTTTCATATCCAGTTATTAAAATATAACCAGTGTTCTTTGTTTTGGATTTATGATTCGAATGAATGCAGTTCTTATTCAACATTGATTCTTATCTCTGAAGCCAAATTTTAATTTGTTTGCAGTGTTCTTCATGTGGTGCAAACATTTATCAAAATCGAATAGTTCTTTGTCAGTTGCCCAATGGACAAGTTTTAACAGATCCAAATTGTAATCTTCGTGAAAAACCAGTTGAGAATAGGCTCTGCCTTTGTGACCATTTCAACTGGCATGTTGGACCATGGAACCCTGTAAGTCTTTAACCTCTCCCAAATCATATATTCATTTCATTTCAGGAAATTTTTTTTTTTTTATTTCAAATCTATTGAATTCACATTTTCTCTGTGCAGTTTTTATGCCAAAAAAATGAGTCCTCTCACTTTGGAAAAATTGCATGGTACATTTTCTCATAGTTAAAATTCTTTTTATTGTGCATTTTAATCTCTAGAAAGTTTGATATTAAACATAATTGAATTATAATTACACCCCAATTTTTGGTTATGAAAAATTAACATTTTTACTTCAGATAAACTGTTCCTTGCTAATATGAATTTATACTCTGCTTTTGTTAATGAAATTAACGACCATCAACAATACTTCTTATGAGATATGGTTTTGGAAATCTACAACGTTTACAAAGGTGCAGTTTTCCAGCACCTTGAGTTGATTATGTGGTTGGTGTTAATATTGTGTATTAAAATATAATGCTACCCAATTGCGGGTGCATTCAGGCACTCTTGTATATGAAATTTGCAGTCACATTTGGGTTAAAATGGTTTAGTGCAGTTTCCAGCCCCAATGCCCAACTTAAATGAACAATTACAAAACAAAACTATTTTATATTTTTCCCCATAATAAATTTACTTGGTTGTTTTAATACTTTTTAAAAAAATAGTTTAACCAAAAGATTAATTGGTCCTGTATTCTTTTCTGTAATTTTTGTCTATAAACTCTGTTCAGATTCAAATGAACTCTTTTGCTGACTGGAAATATTTAATAATCAAGACAGAAAAATATATAATCTTAATTTGCTAAACTTTGGTTTCATTCAAGGCCTTAATTAGGAGGTATGTTGCGGGATTTGAACTCTATACACCAGCTAATTAGTTTGCTAAAACCTTATTAACCTTGGCCCTGTGGTAGATAACTCAGAATATTAGATAATCATGTTTAGTTAAAATTAAGGTATATTTGAGGTGCCATGTTTAATTCTCAGGGCAAGAGTTAAACATAGCTTCACACATGTAATCTGCGTGCATGGTGCCATTTAAACATGCATGAATAAATATATATATATATATATATATATATATATATATATATATATATATAAAATAAAAAAAAAACAGACCACTTTAAGGTACCATTACAATAATTTATTTCACCAAAATCCTTTTTGAAGGACTTCGGATTATCAGGTAACACTTCCAACAACGAAAGGAAAGGAAAAATGGGATTAGAAATTGATGGGTAGTGTAATTTTTGTAATTTAACAGGGAGGGTGATAGTTGTAGTTAATGAGACAAGGTAGAGTATAGGGAGGGGTTAATTTCATATTTCTCTTAAGCATGTTTTATATTTTATTACTGTTGTCTATCTCCTCTCTCCTTTTCGTTTTTCCTTTTCTTTTCCCCCCACTACCCTCCCATTCCTATATATCATTTCCGTTAAGTTAAACATCTAAATAGGTCACGATTAGGTCACTCCTCCTACCCCAATATAAAACATGCTTAAGAGAGATATGAAATTAACCCCTCCCTATACTCTACCTTGTCTCATTAACTACAACTATCACCCTCCCTGTTAAATTACAAAAATTACACTACCCATCAATTTCTAATCCCATTTTTCCTTTCATTTCATTGTTGGAAGTGTTACCTGATGATCCGGAGTCCTTCAAAAAGGATTTTGGTGAAATAAATTATTGTAATGGTACCTTAAAGTGGTCTGTTTTTTCATTAAATATTAGCTCTGTATTCACATTGAGCTCTCAGGATTTCATCCTCCTTGGAATTACCCATTCAGTTTACCAAGTTCTTCATAACTTAACTCCACACACACACACACACACACACACACACAGTTGCCATATTGAGCTAACAAGTAGCAAACTAAGCTATATTTGAAAGCCTGGTATTACTAAATTTTGTATTGGCTTATTAATAGCAAAATTCAAAATATAGTACTGCTACATAGGTCTCATGGTGATATAATGGTTAGATGCTCAGATTGAGGAATCTGAGAGCTGAGTTTGAGTTCCAGTCAAGTTCATCACATTCACTTATGTGCTAATATACTTGGAGAAAGTATGAATCCATCTATTCTTCCCCAGCTATGGGTAAAGTAGCAGGACAGACTGGGTCTTTGTATGGCAACCAATCTAGGAGAAGGAAACTCTGAATTCAAAATCACCTTCTGCCTTGTAGGTGCTGCCTCTTTAGGCAAAGGCCAGAAGTTACCTTCAAAAACAAATCCACTTCACAGAGAGTAGGGATGGGGTAACCTCAACATCCCCAGGGTGCAAAAGGAACCGGCAAGCCATTGCACTATTCTGCCTTGAATGTCACCCATGAACTTACAATTGTGAAATGGATGGGAGTGGTGACCACAGTGGCATAAAATGTGCTAAGTGAATTTTGTTAAACATATTTTTAATTTACTCCTGCAACCCTGTACTCAGGTTTTTCTTCTAGCAAAAGGTTGAGAAGGAGTATTTTACTCCAACTGATATCAAGTACAAATCCAGTTAAAAAAAAAAAAATTGGCTCATAAAATACATTAGATTGGAGGAACTGGTACTGTTAGATTTTTGTTATATAGAAATAGTCACTGAATAAAAAACTGTGTTGATGTAATCCGCTGAAAACACTTTTTTTCTTTTCGTCTATCTCTGTAGTGTCCTGCAAGTTGTGGCAAATCTCACAAAGTTCGGAAAGTCATGTGTGTCAATGACTCGGATTTTGAAGTGACACCTTCTAATTGCAGAGGAACACCTCCAAAGTCCAGTAAACGTTGTCGGCTGAAAAGATGTCCACGATGGCAAGAAGGACCCTGGCAGTCTGTGAGTTATTGCTTCCTTTTTTCTTTTCCTTTCAGGACTCATCTTGTTTTAATTTTAACTAGTTTATCTTTCATTTTATTATTATCTCTTTATTGAATCACTAAGATTATTTTACATTCTATGACTGTTCAGTAACATGGAACAAAAATAAAGTAACCTCCAACAATATTTGAACTCTAGTATCCTTAAGAACTTTCTGATCTGGACAATGATATGCTATAGAGACAAATCTCAAGGGAAAGATGAAATTCACTCATATAATTATATCCTCTCTTATCTGATTTTCTCAATGCTATATTGTTTGTTTACACATAGTTGGTCAGAAATTGCCTGAATTTCTTAAATGAAGTTTTCATTATTCATTTTTACTAATTTTATTTTTTATCTTGGTATTGTTTCTTCTGATCCACAATGCTTACTTAATGATTGTCAAATGTAAAACCACCTGCATTTCTTTTTTAAAACCAACAAGATGACAAACTACTTAGAATTAATATGGCATGGAACAAAATGATAGCACAGTGTGGTTCAAAATGATTAAAATAACATGGATAAAAACATGAATCAAAATGATTAAATTAACTATTTAAGACTATAAATGGTAATGCTTAATTTAATAAATTCAGGTAATTTAAAACTATTATATCTAACACTATTCAATAAAAAGATGAAAAAAAAAACTGATAAAAGATCAATAACAATTGGTAAGAAATTTGAATAACACAAATGTGTTATTTTAAAAATAAAAACCAAATCTCTTCAAATCAGATGTAAATTTTTTCATATTAACTCTTGGTTCAATAACTTTTTTTTTATTTGTAAACTTTACATATCTTCAACCTTGGTGAGAGGTGGGAAGTTTGTGTGTTTTTTTTTTTTTTTTTGTGTGTTTTTTTTTTTCCTCAAGTATTGATATAAAGCCAAGTATGATAGTCCTTTTAATTCATAAAGTAAAGGCCATGCCTAATCTCAGTATTTCAAGTGAGATATATAAAAACAATAGAGACTGAGTAAGGCAATCACCAAAAATTCAGTTACCATAAATAACATTATCTGCTGAATTATTTTAAAATTACTATTAAGAGAAATGGTTATAAGATTGGGATTTGGCTAGTACATATAATTAGTTTCAGTCCCAAGCTGAATCCTTATAAATGTTTATTTTTCAGTGTTCAGTGACATGTGGTCATGGAACACGGAGAAGAGAAGTTTTCTGTCATCAGAGCAAGAACCGAAGGGTTGCCGATAGAGAATGTGAAACCCGACACAAGAAACCTGCAACTGTCAAATTCTGCTACCCTGGGCCATGTAATTTTATCTGGAAGAAAGAAAGATGGTCAGCGGTTGGTAACTTTTTCTAATTGTCATTTTATTTCATATATCATAGACCTTGAGAATTGAACTTTGTTGTATCATTATTTTATAACAAACTTGAAGTTTTCTAAATCTCCATATATTTTTTATTAGCATTTTCAATTATTATTGATGCCGATGTTATTTTGAATTCAAGTGGATCTTTTGTTGTTTTTGGTCATTTTGTATCCAAGTAAGTTATAGTGAAATAAATAATAGAATTTGGAGGTAAAAAACAAATTGGTTTATATTTTTGTTTTTTGATGATCCCCAATATTTGAGTGAATGTGCAGGTGATGTAATGAATAGCAACTCAGAATAAGACTTTGGCAAGCCAAGTGAGTGTAAAATGCAAATATCTTTGGAAAGGATATGAATCTCCTTCACTGAGCTACGGGTTAAATAGTGAGGCTTGTATCTGGAAAATTCATTGTTATTCTCAAAATATTCTTAATGCAATATTCACACAGAAGAATTATTACACTCAAAAATGTTTCAACATATTTAATAACACAGACGCAGTTGACAGGCCATAAAAAATAAAATTAAAACCCCCCATTTGATTTGTTTTTATGCTCCACTCTGTTTGAGAAGGTTTTTGGTTTCCGCACTGTTTTATAGGGGTTTTTATGCTCCCCTTTGTTTGACAGGGTTTTTTTTTTTGTTTTTCTTCTCTCTGTTGCTTCCTCAGTTTGACGAGTTTTTTTTTTTTTTTTTTTTTTTTTTTAAGGTTCCTCTGTCAGACAATGGATTTTTATTTTTTTTAGCTTCCCATTTGTTTCACATGTTTTTACTTAGTACAAAGTCAAATGGGAAGAAATTATGATTAGGGGAATCACAATACATTAATCTTCTACGTGTATGGCTTGTAATGCTGTTCAGCCACTTACAATCCACATTCTTTGGTGCCATCAACTGCGCAGTATCAAGCTGAAAAACCCAAACTTGCTCATTTGACATTGGCACCTTTTGTAAGTCAAAGTGATTTGCATATACAGCAAGTGAACACATGCAAATCACCTATGCCATTCATGCCTATATTCTCACTTTTTAATGGTGACAGATAAAAAAAAACAAGATTATGTGACCGCTTCCTTTTTAGTTGACAAGATAGGTTGCTGCTCAATTTTTTTTACTACAGCCTGCTTCAAAAATCATTCTTTAAAATTTTGGGTTAAAGGTTCAACATCTGGCACCAAAAGTTCTGTCTACCAGTAAGAAAACCTTTTGTCCTTATACTTATTTATTCTACTTTTCTTCTGTAAACTTTTCTTCTGTAAACTTTTGAAAAAAATAAATCAGGTCATGTGCAGAAAATGGTAGACCTTGTCCAATTTTAAAAAGTAGTATCCGCAAAAACTAATGTGAACATAAATATTTTACATATAAATTTCCCTAACTCTTCCGTTGTTAAAAAATGTGACTAAATTCTTTTTTCTTTCCAGTGTTCAAAGGAATGTGGATTTGGAAGGAAGCATCGTTCCGTTCATTGTGTAGATTATATTAAAGGAACAATACTTGATGAAAAATTTTGCCAGTCAAAGAAACCCAAGACAACACGTCGATGTGCAGAATTTCCTTGTCCATTTACATGGACTAATGAACCTTGGTCACCTGTAAGTATTGAATACTGAAAAATTTATTTTGTAAATTCTTTTAGTATTTTTTAGTTTTGCTTAGTTAAATTATAGTATTCTTTAAGTAAATTGGATTTGTTGCAGAATTTTAGTTGGATTTATGTTCTGCCATTGGCACTTTTAATCATTTTGCTCCATGCCATGTTAATTAATGCATTTTGAGCCTACATGTTAATTAATGTATTTTGAGCCTAACTGAATCCAGTTTGCAGTCAGATATAAATTAAGATTCTTCACTGAAAACCAAAGAAATTCCTACAAATGATCAAACATCATAACTATTTTTTTCTTCAGTTGTTTGACCTTTATTCTTTTTCTCTGACTTTAAATTTGACTTTTGACTTAATCCTCAAAGTTAAGCAATGATAGCCAACACCCAATAAATAAGACTCTTCTCTTAAAACCAACCTGCTTTTTATACTATTATTATTATACTATCATAGTACCCATAAAAAATAACAACCCTTTGCTTAGGATCAATATAAATGTTGTACACAGTATAACTTAGATAATCAAGGTAACAGCTTTTTGTTACTTCTTCCCGGTATGGTAGTTAAATGAGAGGAGTTTACTGAAGTGCTCACTAATTCAGTCTTCCTCCACAACCTTTGTGACATGATGGAGATGAGACATTTTTCGTTCAGTTATCCTTCTAGACTGGCTGCTAATCAAATCTAGAGAGCCCAGTCTACTCTGTTGTTTAACCCTTAACTGGTGGAGAAGAGACTGATTCATCCCTTTCCAGGAGTATTTGAGCAAAAGTGAAAGCAAACAGCCTAATCTGAAATTTGAACTTGACATGCCAATCTCACTTTCCATGCTGATAACCCCTATACTACATGCACATCTGATAGGGTGGGGTATGTGAAATAAAATAAGTCCAGTTATACTGTAATTTACATTTTGTCTGTATCTATTTTTAGTGTTCAACAAGTTGTGGTCCTGGATATCAAACACGTCGTGTGGTGTGCCAAGCTGTCTCCAAGGAAGGCTGGATCCTTAAGGGAGAGGTTTATGGCTGCAAGTCACATGACATGCCAACATCCCGCCAACACTGTAACATGGGAGATTGTTCTTCACCCTACCACTGGAAAGTTTATCCTTGGCATCGTGTATGTTTTTAAGCACTTTTTGTCTTTTCAATTAACTCTGAGATTTTTTCTTCCTTCTTTCTTAGTCTTTTGTTTTTCCTCTTTTTGTTCTCTCCTCTCTCTCTCCTTTTTTTTCTCTCTCTATCCTGCCATTTTTTTCTCTCTCTCTCATTATTTAGTTTGTTTTTGCCAGACGATATTTCAAAAAGGTACAAAAAACATTAAAAACTTAATTATCTCCCTTAAATCAAAGTCTCAACTATTTCTAATCTTTCCTTTTTTTTTTTTTTTTTTTTTTTTTTTTTTTAATCTTTTCAGTAACATTCACCCTTTACAAGGATTAAGTTAGGAGGCAATTTGTGCAGATAAGAGGGAAAGATAATAGTTAACCCTAACCTTGAACAGATTGAGATTGTAGTGATCAGGGAAACATCCTCTTAGGATTTGGTTCCACAGAGCAGTGTTTAGCAAGACGCTGTTAGAGTTGAACTTGCTTCTCACCAATGGAATATGGAGTTGGTGGTTTGCTACTATGTAAATGGTATGGTATCTACTTGCCATGAAGGTTTGAACTGGTGGGACCAGGGAATGTAGCTCATCCAAGCATTTTCTGTGAAAGTAACAATAGAGCAGCAAGAAGCTTGCCATATCTGCCCTGGTGTCTCGTCTACAGTCACTTTCTCACAGACGCGCCGTCGCCTCCCTCTGTCTGTTCTACAAATACTTTCATGAAAATTGCTCCGAGGAGTTGCATTCGCTGGTTCTCAGACGTCATGAGTTCCAGCGCCTTACGAGGCTGGCATCCCGCTCTCACCCCCTCACTGTCGAAACTCCTAAATGTAGCCGTCTCTTCTACTCTAATAGCTTCATGTCTCGCACCTCTCGCCTGTGGAACCCCCTTCCCTTCTCCTGTTTCCCTGTGAGCTATAATCTCCAGCTATTCAAGTGTAATGTCAATCGACAACTCCAGTTGACTTGATCTATCCACTACCCTCATCCTTTCTTCTATCACTCCTATCTGATCTTGCTATTTCCTGTAACCCCTTGCATCCTAGTGGCTTCCCGCCTTGCTTGGGGTGAAACGCTTAAAAAAAAAAAAAAAAAATATCCTGCCTGTGGGAGAGAGGTTGGAGAGTGGAGAATAACTTGTCACCCTTGGAGACGCTTTTGTACTCTATCTGGCTCTTATAAAGGTAGAGGATAGTAGGAGTCAGTTACTTACTGTAACAGTAGAGGGGGAGCTGACCATTTTACCTGTATCCTTAGCAGTGGACCATATGTACAAGTTTCATTTGAGGTCAGGTGCATGTTTGAAGCCCAATAGTCTTTCAAGGCCTCCCTGAGAAGACATCTGTTCATCCTGAATGGTGGTAGTTCAGGGTCCAATCAGCAATGATAGAATGTAACTAGTCTGGTTTACAAGGCATTGAATGTAACCAGCCAGTTTTTATCCCACTGAGTAGTTTGTGTTAGATTAGGAAAGAGATCAATGGCTCTGACCATCAAGAGCTTTAGAGGTGGGCTCATATATAGTCATATCATTAGCAGAGATGTTTATAAATTATCTATTCTTAGGCATAGTCTCACTAATTCTGTGTGTGATGGTAGTTAAGACAGCTGTTCGGGCTGACCGAAACCCATACTGCTCATCACTGAAGAGATTGTTCTTTTCTAGGGGCTTGATGACCTTCTTATTGACTATGGCCTCAAAAAGCTTACTGAGTAGACTGATGGGTCTGTTCTGGGAGGAGGAAGATAGCATGCCCACATTCTTGAAAACCAAGTATACATTTGACACCTTCCACAAGTTTGGGAATAATTTCTCTTGCAAGCAGCAGTTGAATATCTTCACTTGTATTGGTGATAATTTCAGGTTGATATTCTTAAGGACAACCACTGGAATTTTGTCTGGGCCAGTGGCTTTTTTAGGGTTAAGGCTAGAGACTTCTCATGCTCTACAGGGCACATCGAATCATTCAGCTGACATTTCTTAATCAAAGATATTATTTAAAAAAAGACATCATATGTTTAAATATGGAATAAAATATTTACTTTTTATTGCTAATAACCAGTATGTCTCTAAATGTTACATATTGCATATGGTTGAAAGAGTAGCAAATGAAAAATAACAATATATTGCCATTGAGGCAGAAAGAAAAAGAAAAAAGATGATTTTTTAGACAATATTTTAAAAGATACAAAAAGCATTAAAAGGCTTAGTTGTCCTTCTTTGATGAAAGTCTCAGCTAACTATTTTTTAACTTGAACATTTCAGCACACATTGAATCATTTGGCTGACATTTTTTAATCAAAAATATTATTTAAAAAAAACATCTTGTATGTTTAAAAATTCAGTAACTAAAATGTTAATTGTGGTCGTAAAGAGAGTATATTCCAACCACTAAACAGAATAATATAAAAATAGCTCATAATGGGGGGGGGACAAATTGGTCTGTCTCTTGTTATAGAATATTTTAGTTGTTCTGAGATAACATTGCACAATTTACAGCTTGTTGCATGCTAAAATCTTACACTTTTGGATGATATTATTATTGCTGTTGATAATAATCTTAATAAAGACTGACTTTGACAACAGGTGATTATATTTGTCATGATCAGTATTTAACTCTGATACTCATTTCTTACAACTGTTGTCAAATAGATAAATATTATATATTGAATATGGTTGCAAGAGTAACAAATGAAAACAATGATGCATTGCCATTGAGGAAGAAAGAAAAGGAGACAAGATATGTTCAAATAAAATTATTTGTATTACCAATGTATACATTGAATCAAAGTAGAATGTCTCTTGTATTCAAGGGATGTGGCACTTGTAGGTAAAGGTGTCTAATTTCAAAGATGGAAAAGTTGGTTGTGTACTAGCCTTGTGTTAAACCTTGTTTCAGGCCAGTTGACCAAAAGGCCACTGTGAACTGCTTTGATTTAAGCAGTTAGGGTGGATACATGACTCTGCATTTTTGTCATGTTTTTATTTTAGCAGCAACATTTTTGATTAGATTCAATATTTAAATTTTTAATTTGTTTTGTAAACTGGATGAACTTTTTTATTTTTTATTTTGCTTTCTTAGCTCTTCACATCTGACAGGTTTTGATGTGGAGGGAATCAAGAAAAGGTTTAATTTGAAGCAGTTTAACATAAGTTATAGCCAACAAGAAAAGAACAAAGCAGAAGAATATTTTTATAAAGAATATTCTTCTTATGGCCTTTTTGATATTAAGGATATTTTTTTTTTTTTTTTTTTATCCATTAAGTATGTATAAATTCTTACAGAGAATTTAAAACCATAAATAATACAGACAGAAAAAGATGTTTTTTATACAATATGAATTAGATCATTATTTCTCCCTAAATTACATATAATACTATTTTAATAATAAAAAAATACATTTTAAAATAATTAATAAAATCTTGGAACAGAATTTTTTTTTTTTTTTTAATCAATTCATCCCTAGACTGTGTAGGAGTGTAAACTAAGACAATAGACAAAACTATCTACTCCTATTGAAGAATAAATAAATGAATAGTAAATGAAAATTCAATCTAAGCAGACACATTAAAAGCCTAGAATTAAAGTAGACTTTAGAAGAAACCGGATACCCAATCCTAAACTAGAAACAAAGGATAAATCCCTACTCCTGTACAAAAGTTCGCTGTTTAAACCTTATATAACTGTTGCTAACAGATTAACCTTTTACAAATATTTATTATTAATATTCATTACTTTTTTGTTGTGTGCATATTATTTTTTTCCCTGCAGTGTCCGAATGCTTGTGGGGTTCAGGAAGTTGGCCGAAGAGTGATGTGTGTGGATAGAGAGAACAGGGAGCACCCTCATCACAATTGCGTACAACCACCACCACAGTCAAGGAGGAGGTGTATGAACAGATCTTGTAAGTAATGTTTTCTTCTTTCTTGTGTTTTGTTATTTGGGCTTGTCTTTCATGATTTTTTTTGTTTTGTTTTTTTGTTTTTTGCATTATTCTTCTCCTCTACCTCTCACTTTTCCTCTCTTTCTTTTAGTTAGTATTACAACCTACCATACCACATACCAATGTTAGTTTCTCTTTCATTTTTGCTAGTGTTCCTTCCTCTCCCAAACACAACACACCTTTTTCTTTTATTAATATCTCTTTGTTAATATGCAAATGGCTTGTTGCTAGAGTGAACCAAGTATCAAACAAGATAGCCAAGAATGAGGCAACCATATTGGCATAGCTCTTTCTGTTTGGCTGTAGGTCGAATTTTATTGTATTATCTTTTGTTCATTGTGAGAACATTTTTTCAATTAACTATAAAGGGAATTTTTCCTTAGGCTATGTTAAACAGCATTTACCTGAACTGACACAACTAAGCTGCTTTTCACTTACTACCTGCAATGTAGGATGATTTTGTTTTTATTTTCTTTAATAGCCATTGAGGAAGTGAGCAAAGATGCAAAGCTTTTGTTTCATAAAGATAAAGGTGGGTGGTTAGAGAACAAAGAAAAATAAGAAGGAAAAAGAAAGCCAGAAATACCAACCAATGAAATAATACTAGAGACTTTCCTCTTAACTTTCCTCTGGGAGGTACCACTCCCATGTGTTATCAATGTCACAGAATTTGTGCAACAGCCAAACAGTGCACACACCTGTTAAAAGATGTGTTTCAAGTCTGCCTTAATTAAGGGACAATGAGAAAAATGTTTTTTGTGAAAGAAAAACAAACAAAATTTGTGGATTTGACAATAATAAAATCAAAGTGTTTAGGATTGAATGTCATACAGGGTGTAAAGGCAATGATATTTTGTCACATGATATATCTTATTGCCTATAGTTAAAGATTTTTTGGTTTATGATCTAGGAACAAAAGAAAGCTTATTCTAGGTGGAATATCAGAGCCAAGGAAGGATCATTGTGGTTGTATATAGGGGTTCCAAACTATGTGCTAAGAACTTATTAGGATGTATTTTTCCTCCATTTTGGAGGAAATTGTAGCTGTACATCTTGAATATATTAGCAAGGAGTGGAGTGAACCTACATCTCTGTTTTCAACTGTTTAGACATTGATGGTCAAAAGATGATTATTGTCTCTAAAAGACAGAAATGCCAGTACTGTGATGAATTTGATCAACCACCTCTCTTCCACAATATACCCAAGAAAGAAGACACGAAATGAAATTGGCTGTGAAGCAGTAAAGTTCCTTTACATTCACCTCAACAATATAAGCACCTCACCTAATAGCTATGGCTGAAATATATATGATCAAACATAGAAGAACACTTTTACTTGCTCACCTCTCTTCTGAAATCTCTCAAACTAAAAAATATAAGTTGTGGCAACTCTGAAGAGTGGGAGAAAGACCCAAGCAGCATTTCATAAGTCTCTGCTGGACCCCATTCAATTATAAACAGTTCTGAAAGAGAGGTCTTATGGTGCTCCTGATATTGAAAAAGAAAGGTTCAACACAATCAAAGATAGACCAGCAGAATGTACTAATTTGTCTTCCTTCAAAAAAGACAGCAGCAAAATTCATAAGGACCAAATATCCCTGGCTTCATCTATTCTTGCTCCTTCATGTTCTTTTCCTGCTAAGTACTTTCTTTGTCACAAACTTGCCCTTCCTTCTATTCTACCACCCACCTTAATAGTGTCCAAAACACAGATTCTCTTCTATATAGTTTGTCAGAGAAACAGCAACTATTGAAGAGAGAAAAAAAAATACAAATTGAAAGTAATTTACCAAGTTGACCAAGATATACTGGAAGACGAATCTCCACTCTTGAAGGCTTAAATAAAAACAGTTGCTGTTATAACATTTCAATGTCATTGTTATGTCGTGTATCCACTAAGTTCTTATTCCACTTCCGTTCTCGTTGGTGTCCATTTATTATATATGAGCTACCTGCTCATATGCAAATTATACTAATTTGCATATCACTACATCTCCCTATAACGGAGGGGCCTTATGCATGAAAGTACTTATTGTACTTCTTCTTGTGCCCTCCTGAACATCTTCCTTTATCTCTCTCCTTTCCCTTGGAGATCTAGATCTATCACGTCTTTCCCTATAATCGAATTGTTCCTCTTGCATACTCTGGTCTTCCTCTTCTAACTCATCTCTCTCTACTTCTTCCTCCCGCAGTTTCATTCTGCATTAACTCTTCTGATACATCAATAATGGGCATCTCTGAAGGCATTTCCTCATCAGATTCTTCTCCTTGGGATCTTATTTGGTCAGCATGAGCTAGAACACTGTTCCCATTTTCTTTATTTAATATTGCAGTATTATGTCCTTTCTGCATAATAAATTCGGCTGACTCTGGTTGCATATTCCTATTTCTTTTGTACCACATCTTTTTGATTACCATATGACATTTTCAAAGGGACCTTAATTTAAGGCAGATGGACTTCCGGCCTGCCTGCATGTGGAATTCTTCTGTAACATAGTAATCTTGGTCAAATTTCCTCCTTCTGGGGATGCTTTTATGCCCTTCTTTACCGTCTGGACCCTGCCCCATTACTTTGAGGGTGGTAGGGAGGGTCTTGGAGGTCTGCATCCTATTTTTCTTAGCCATTCATGCAAATCAGCATCCACAAATGGTGCGTTATGTCACCAATGTTCTCGGTGTCCCATTCTGAAAATAACTCTTAATATTAATTTTGGTAGGAACTTTTTTTTTATCAGGTATTCTCACCACTTCAGGCCTTGAATATAGTTGCAAGCATGCTTTTATGCCCTTCTTTACCGTCTGGACCATCCTTTCCGCTGCCCCATTACTTTGAGGGTGGTAGGGAGGGGTCTTGTAAGGTCTGCATCCTATTTTTCTTAGCCATTCATGCAAATCAGCATCCACAAATTCTGGTGCGTTATCAGTCACCAATGTTCTCGGTGTCCCATTCCTCGAAAATATTACTCTTAATATTTGTTTTACGGTGGTACTTTTTTTATCAGGTACTCTCACCACTTCAGGCCAACCTGAATATGCGTCTACTAATATTAATAATAGTCCTATCCCATTGACATAGGCATGGTCCATGTGTACTCTGCTCCATGGTTCTACTTCTCGGGGCCATACATGTATTTTCTTTTGCTTAAAATTCCTGAGTTCTGTGCATTTTTTGCATCTTTTTACGTAGTCTTCACGTCTCTTGAGTACCCCGCCACCAGGCTTCCAATTTTAATCTTCTTTGCGTAGCTGCCACTCCACAATGTACGTCATCGTGTACACTTTTTTATAACCTGTCTCCTCTGTGTTTCTGGGGGCACTACCAAGTCTCCATTACATATTATCCCGTTTTCTATAGTCATTCTATGTCTAATTTCTTTGAATGGTCTTTCAGCCATTGAACAATTTCCCCAGCGATTCTGTTTTATCCTCGACATTATTCTATTTAACACTGGGTCATTTGTAGTTTCAGTAGCCATTTTATCTACAGATATTACATCGGTTTCTACAAGGTGCAAGAATGTGTCTTCAAATTCCTCGTCGTTTTTGTCCTCCTCTCTATAAAACCTCAATCTAGACGTGCGGTATCGTATTCCGTTTAACATATTCAATGTCAAAGTCGAACGCCATCAGTCTAATCGCCCAACGTAATATTCTGGACGTTGTAACTTTCGGTAGCTCTTTTCTTGGGTTGAAAATAAATTCCAGTGGTCTATGATCACTTTTCAACAAGAATTTTTTCTCCATCAAAAACTGTCTTGCTCTATGCGTTGTCCACACTATGGCTAGTGCCTCCCTTTCTATATTCGAATAATTGTGTTCAGTTGTTGTTAATCTCCTTGATAAATACATTATGGGATGCCCATCTTGTGACAAAATACCAGATATGGACTGCTCACTAGCGTCAGTAGTTAGAGTTATGTCCTTCTTAGGGTCAAAAATTTGTACTATTGGCTTTTTTGCCAGAATCTGTTTTAAGTTTTCAAAGGCTTTCTGTTGGTGTTCTAACCAAATGAATTCCACATTTTTTTTTCTTAACTTAGCAAATGGCTCTGTCAACTCATTATATTTTGGTACATATTTTCTATAAAAATTTACCAAACCTAAGAAGGACTCAGTTCTTTTTATTTTTTGGTGTAGCAACTTTTAGAATTTTCTCTATTAGTACTTTATCTGGAGAGATCCTTCCTTTGATATTGAGTAACCCAAAAATGATATTTCATTACTGTTGGTTACACACTTTTTTGTATTTATTGTCATACCAGCGTCTCTCAGCGGTTCAGTATATTTTCAGTTTTTTTCTTTAAATCATCTTCATTTAAATCTCAACACATATATCATCTTGATAACAGATGGTATTTTCAACATTTCCTATTACTTTTTTCAATAGCTTTTTTTGAAAAATTGCACTTGTTGTTTTTATGCCATACGGCATTCTTTTCCACCTTAACAGGCCTATAGGTGTGTTTATAGTCGTCACTTCTTTAAAATTTTCATTTATCGGTATTTGGTGGTAAGCTGATTTTAGGTCTATCTTCGAAAATACTTTCATTCCAGCAAGCTTATGTAAAGCTACTTCCACATTTGGAATAGGGTACGAGTCAGCACAAACTTTATGGTTCACCCCTATTTTATAATCTCCACAAATTCTCAGGTCACCATCCCTTTTTTTCAATACCACGATGGGTGATGCCCATTTACTTCCTCCTGGAGGGGCAGGTTCTAATAAGTCTTCCTTTATTAGCTTTCGCAATTTAGCTATTGCCAATGGTAATAAATGCACTGGTATTTTTCTCACTTCGTAGTAGGAGGGGGAAACATCTTCTTTTAATTTCAGGCTAGCTTCATAGTTTTTTAATTTTCCTGTTTTTTCTATTTCTATCTCATTAATCAACTTCATTGAATTTATTTTTAACACGTCATTCCCCAGTAGTCCATGCGTTTTTCGGCAATTTGTAACTATAATGCGTACTATTTCATATTTTTCTTTTAATTCTATTGAACCTTCAAAGTAACCCATAATTGCTATAATCGAGCCATCAAACTGACGTAGTTGTACGTTGGTTTTTTTTAAAAACGGTTTTCCCATTTTTTCCCACAAATTTCTGGGTACTATCGTGACGTCACTACCTGTGTCGATTTGCATTTCAACAATACAGTCGTTGATTTTCACTTTTATTTTTGTATCTCCGTTCTTAGATCCAGTATTTTGTATATTATCTTTTTTTACATTAAAAATCTGTCTATTTTCATCCTCTACTCTTTCCACATTTTTCGTTTTACATACTTCTTTGATTTTTTTTTAAACACTTTGAACACGTCTTTCCAAAGGCTGGGCATTTTTCTTTTTTCATTTCATGAATTTTTCCACAGTATGCACAATTTTTTCTTTTTGTTTGTACCGTATATGTTTCAGCCATTATTTCTTCATAGGATTTATTTTTATTTTGGTTGTAGGTATGTATTAATTCCTGCTGTTGTATAAATTCTATACACATATTCAAAGGCATGTTTGTAAGTTGTAACTGTTCCATTAACTTATATCTGTGCGCCGAATTATGCATACCTTCAATTAATCTTAGTTGGATTAATTCTTCTTCCGTTGTCTGCTCGCCTGTTCCTAGTTTTTCGAATTCACAGTATTTACTCGCACTTCTTAACCGGTGTAAATATTTTACTATCGGTTCATCCACTTCCTGCTTCATTGCCATAAACTTGGTCCTTTCTGCAATCACCAGTCTTTTCTTTGGCCTCATGTTTCCCTTAATAACCTGACTTATTTCTTGAAAGTCATTTCTTCTAGTTCTCGAGGGTAAACAATTGTAGCAACCTTCATAATCGCTTCACAACCAGCGGTAGCCATGAACAAGTCGGTGATTTCATTTTCCCCTCCTCTGTTTTTGTTGTCTTTCAACTTTTTACATCTAGCATTAGCAGCAAAGCAACGAATCCACGTGTTCACGCACTCTGGGTCTTCAAGGACCAAAGAGTATCCTATCGGGCGACGCCATTGTTATGTCGTGTATCCACTAAGTTCTTATTCCACTTCCATTCTCGTTGGTGTCCATTTATTATATATGAGCTACCTGCTCATATGCAAATTATACTAATTTGCATATCACTACAGTCATCCTCTGGCATTCTTCAGTTGTCTATCAGTCCAGGTAACCTTCAAGGAATTTCAAACTGAACCCTTTATTTAATCTACAGTGATATATTGTTCTCATTTCATTGTCCATGTATAGGGATGTCTTGTTCTTTAGTACTGTTCAGTTATTGCTCACCCTGTTTCCACCGAGTCTGAATCAGTACTTTCTGGCTCAGGGATTGAACTCACAATTATTATGCCACCAAATTCACAAACCAGCACTTTAATTCATGAGGCTATCATTTCATATGACAATCAGAACCTAGAGTATGGGTGATTAAACCGAATGTTTTTGTTGCCTATCTGCTGCTGCTGTTATACTTGACTACCTTTGCTGCTACTTCTCTTACTGCTGCTGTTGCAGTTTTGCTGTGAAGCTTATCTCTCTTCAGTCATTTCTCTTTTTCTCTATTAAAAAATCCTTAGATTTGTTAGTTTCCATCTTCTCCACACACCCTGCACTTTTTTGTTAATTTCCCTTCCACATGCTTAAATAAAAATACATGTGCAAACTTACTTTAAGGTAAACTTCTTTTTAAATTATAGCAACAAATAAGATTAAATGTTCAACTTCTAGAACTTTTCAGTCTCGGGTTTTTGCAGATACGATATTCACTCGACAAGAGGATTGATAGTATGATTGAATTTAAATACATAAATCATACATTCCTTAAAATACACACTTAATCCTCTCTAAGAATGTTAATTTTTGATGTCAGCTTATTTTAAATATTTCTTAAAGATGTTATTGTATGACATAATCTAATTAGAAATTCTTCAGTTACATGTAGTAGATAAATTTTGATATAATCAAAATATCTTCCGTTATCGATAGGAATATGTAGAAAAACCTTTAAGCAAATTGTTAATATAGTGAAAGGTTCTAGCAATTTACAGTTTATTTGATATTAGATATCATTGGTTTCTCTGAATATTTGTTAAGGATTTTTATTATATTTATATTATAATAATATTTAAATAGTTATATTATTTGATATTAGATATCATTGGTTTCTCTGAATATTTGTTAAGGATTTTTATTATATTTATATTATAATAATATTTAAATAGTTATATTATTTGATATTAGATATCATTGGTTTCTCTGAATATTTGTTAAGGATTTTTATTATATTTATATTATAATAATATTTAAATAGTTATATTATTGAATAAAAATAAATGAATTATATTTTTTTTTTATTGTTACTTTATACAACTTCAGTAACTTATACACAAGTCATTTTATGATTTGATGTTACATTCTGATTTACAATTTAGAGTATAAAACATAGAAGTGTTTTTTATGATTATTTATTTTTAGACTAATGTCTTCATCTTTGTTATATAAGGTAGATTTTTCTCGTTCCACTTTCTATGTCTAGGTATATCTTGCTCATATTTAGTTATTACTCACCCTGTTTCCACCGAGTCTGGGGATAAACATACATGAGATGAGTAGTGGTTTTTATAGTTAAACTTTATAATTTGGATTCTAGAAAATGGAAAGCTAAACTGAAAAGCATTTACCAATTGAGTTTTTTGAATGGTGACTAAATTTTAAGTTTTGTTATTGCAGGTTATGCAAGCACCTGTCGGGAATTAAAGTCAAGTACATCAATTCGTCAAGATGGCAATTATCGATTATTAGTCAAGGGGAAATTAGTTGAGGTAAGTTGGCCCATTTTACAGCCAGATCGAGGTGCAAAGCCAGATACCACCACCCTTGATCAAAGCACAAATATTTTTTTTTTTTAATTTCTACATAAAGAATTAAAATGTCTTCCATGTTATTGTTTTATTTTTTTTGGGTTTTTTTTGGGGGGTTGTTTGGGGGGGTGTTTATTGTGAAAAAATTTCTATAATTTTTACTCTTTTATCAATCTGAAAATGTCTACACTTAAAGAAAGTTCTTATGCTCCCACCAAGACAATGATCAATTGATCAATAACTGTGCCTCCTGTAAATTTTTCCCAATTGGACCCCACCCTACTGAAAATCTTGGATCTGCCTCTGTTATGTTGAATGAGTTTTTCTTTTCTTGATACCTTAAAACCTTATAAGAGAAACTAAAATTAATATTTACAAAAATGGTGAACAAAAATACTGATGCAGTTTAAGACAAGGGTATTCAAGACCTTTTACAAATGATTAAAAACTCATCTGAGATTAATTTTGACTCAGACATGTATAAATAAGAGAATGTAAAGAGATGTGGTTTACCAGAGAAACAGATTCAAGACCAAACAGAATTCCTTTATATGTTGTGATGTTGGAAATACTTTCCTTGTTGCTATACCTTCATTACTGTTAATAATTCATCTATTTTCAAAATGACTTCATAATGAAAACAATCTTTTTTTTTTTTTTTTTTTCCAAGTAGTTTTCATATGAAATAAGTCTTTCTTTTTTCAAAGCCACTTGTCACAAAAACAATCATCTATATTTTCTTTTTTTTTTTTCTTTTTTCAAAATAACCATATCAAAATTCGGTTAATTATTTTCACAGAGAAAAAGTCCCCCCCAAAATCCTTTGAATCCATAAAAATTCTAGTGTTTCTTGCTTGACTGTTCTGATGAAGAAAACAAAAAATGTCTGCTGCTTACCTGAAGAATTAGCCACTTTATATGAAGTTATTTCCAATTAATTCATCGCCAATTTTGTAATGTTATCTGGGGTGGTTATTGAAATAACTTGAACAGTAACTTACAAAGTATAAGGGTTTATTTTAAACAAGAACATTACAAGTAGATATTTGCAGGTTCATCTGAAGCTGGAAAGCAAGCTGGTATCCCCACGATGCAGGATATGGCACAAGGCCAATTTTTATGTGGGAGAGGCGGGGGGGTCTGTTCAGGTAAGCTCAAGCAAAAATTCCCCATAGACCCCGCATACTTTGGGTTGGGTCTGTCTCCCTCTCCAGATAAGAATCTACCTTCGGCATAGCCTCGTCTTTGTTCCTCTTTGCCCATAAGTAGAGAGTTCTTGATTCTTGCTCAAGCCTAAACTGGAAAGGAAGCTCCCCTGAGATCAACACCATAGATGCTTATAGTCCTACTCAAACAGTTGATTTAATAGAGGTGTATCAGTTCTTTGCATACTGAGAGTTATCAGTTTGTTCCCTACAACAGAAAGTTTTAAAGAATTTTAAAAATTGTAATTTTTTAAAATGAAAAATGGTTTTCAGATTATGAATATCTATTGAAAAAATTTTTGATATCAGAAAAAAAATTATTCATTAAATTTGCCCAGTAGTAATTTTTGTTTTATTTTTTTATTTTTTTATTTTTTTTTAGATTTATTGCAAGCAAATGAAAAAAAGAAATCCAACTGAATTTATTAGTCTTCGTTCAAAAGAAAACTTTTCAGAAATTTATGACAAGCGGTAAGCAACTTTATTTCTTTTTTTCATTTATTTTATTTAAGCATTTTAGAAATTCTATTACACATTCAAAAAATCCCCTCTAGTATTTTTTAAAATGGAGGGAAATTGTTCATTTAATTATCATTCAACAAGTTTATATTTTCTCAGATCCTGGCTTTCTATTATCAGATCCTTTTTTTTTTCTTCCACATTATAATCAAAGTTTATCTTCAATCATGTTTGTGTTAGTACTTTTATTTGTATAGATGTGAATTTGGAAGTGTCTTATATATACCTTTATTTATCTATTTATTTATTTAAGTGAGCATTGAAGTCAACACTCAGAGGCAACAGGCTGTTCCATGCTAAGTGCAATCATCAGACAGTCTGACAATTGCATCTAGCAGGAAACAGCCTGTTGCCTGAGAGTGTTGACTACAATGTTCACTTTTATATTTATATTTACATACACTCTATCTCTGATATTGAGCACAAAAAGGCTTAAACACTAATATTCCATGGTCATAATTTATTCCATTGGAATTAAGAATTGTTTAAGCCTTTTTATTATATCCTTACTCTGTCCTGGACATTGAGTTCTACTCAGATTCTATCCTCTTGGAATTATTTTGTATGTATATTTATATATTTTAGATATGATTGCATATGTATGTGTATATTTAAAGTGTCTTAGAATTAATGAAAATTAACTAAATATATAGCTGGCCCCCAGCAGAACCAGAATGGATAAAAAACAAAAATAATAATCAACAAAAAAAAAAAAATTAGAAAAGGGTGTTTTTTGTTTGTTTGTTTTTTTTTTTAATGTTGAAAACTTATTTGTTATTGTGTTACAAAATCGCAAGGTTTTTATTTAATTATTTTTTTTAATCATTTCATTTCAAGCCAGGCAATAAAATCACTAAAGACGCAAGGGGTTACTGAGTGTGAGAGAATACAAGTAAAAGAAAACATTATTAAGAAGCAAGAACAATAAAAGAACAGTAATTAAGAAGACAGAAGATAACAATTGACATTGCATTTATGTTTTCTAAGATCAAACTTGACTGGAAAGCAACAAGGCAGAAGTTAGTTCCACAAGAGAGAAGAAATCGTTAGCATAGAACTTATGATTACATTTAGCCATTTCTACTATAAAATGATGAGAACTTGCCATCAATCTAGTACTGCACTTAAATTCATAAAGTCTAGATTCTAGGTGAAGGAGAAAATTAATTATTTATCAAAAATATGACCTGAAAGTTTTCAATAATGTAATTCAATTATATCATCTAGCTTGCCTACCATTTTTGAGAAGCTGATATAAACAAGGTTTATACAATTCATGGATCATAAAGGTGCTAATCTCATGGAAAAGGATGTTATGTTTTTTTTTACTCTTGATCTATTGATATAGGATATGGCAGAAATGCCCTCTCATATAAGACATTAGCGGCAATGGTGTTTTCACTTAGCTAATGTCTTACCATTATGTGGAGGTAATTCTGCTGCATATTGTACAAACAGATGAAGCATTTAATCTTATATTACATACCAACAAATATGCTATTTTGGCCAGTAATGTGTCACTGTTTCAAATGTTGGCTAAAAATGCTATGATAAAAAGCAACCAGTTAATGAAGTGAAAATATGTCATAATGAAAATACTTAATTCCAGAACTTGAAATATAATTTATTTTTATTTCCTCAGACTGAAAGACCCAGGAACTTGCCCCAACAATGGAACACGTTCCAATAGCTGTAACTGTCATCGGAATCCCTACAGCCGATCAGGATATACAACGTATTCCAAAATTAGGATTAATTTGAATACTCTCTCAGTTGTTCGTGAGTAGACTTTTTTGGTTTCAATTTTGAAAGTTCTTAATTTCAGAAACATTTTATTGAAATTCTTTCATTTTACTTTGCTAAATTTTTCTATTTTATGAATTTTTCTATTTAAATCTTTTTTTTTTTTTTTTTTTATTAAAAACTTATTTTCTCTATATTTTGCATTTGATTTTACTATGTATAGGGGATGTTTATGATTATACAAAATGTACTACTAGTGAAAATTTTTTTTTTTTTTATTTAGCTTACTTTTGAATGTTTATATATTTTTGATGTTCATAATTTTGTATTGTTTTTTTAAATTAGATTTTTTGTTTTTAAACCTATTCTAGATTTACTCAGACTATTATCCTCATCTTTGTTATTAGCTAACATTTCAATCATTGTGTCATCCATATTTCTTCAGGTTGGTCCAGGTAATCTTCAGGAGATTTCAAACTGAACTCTCTTTATTTAATATAGATGGGTAGAAAGAAGAGGGGTAGGAGACTGATAGGACGGTAGTTAGTTAAGTGATAATTACAAGAAAGATGAGGACAATAGTCCAAATGTAAATAATGATAAATCCTCATCCCAGAAATACAGACAAAATTTTTTTTTTTTTTAAATTTTGTCATTTTAATAATTTCATGATTAAAATATTTATTTTATTTTAATACTTTTAAATAGTCTATTATAAAAAAAAGTATTGTTCTCTTAGCATCTATGTTGATTCCTATTGAACAGAATTTCTTTGAATCTTGTATTCATCATAATTACTGATAGATTTCTCACTTTATCTTATACATAGAAGATGAAATATCATTTGCAGTGACGCAACGAGGTCGAAATGTTGATTATGGCACAGCTGGAGACTGTTACAGTTTACTCAATTGTCCACAGGTCAGTGTTAAAATATTATCTATATTAGACGCTTTCCAAAAAATCTGCTCCATTTCTTTGTAAATGAACTCTTTCACCTGAGATTTATCACTGTATTTTACTCCACATTAAACACAGGTTTTATTTTCATAAAAACACTGGTTAATAATCTTTGGTGCCTAATACAAGGGATGTCAGTCCTAATAATCAGAGAGGATTGAAATTTTTCTCACTATGCGTGCAGGGGTGGGGGCTTAACAAAAAGTGGAGTTAAAAAATAATTTAAAGTGTCAGAATAAACAGAATAAGTAGCGAGGTTGGAAAATTTCTGAAAATGTGTACATCCAATCAGAGGTATTCGATGAATTAACAAGATTTGTTTTCAATTTATAGATAATGATGAAGGGGAAAATAATTTTGTCAAATTATTTCAAAATATCATATTCCATCAGTTTTAGACTGGATGGAATGATATGGTTAATTGGACTTTGCAGGTTGGTAATAATTTACCAATCCCTTATATGAAATAATTTTTTGATTTAAGTGTTTTCCAGTTTTAAGTTCAAATTCATAGTAGGTATTTAGAGTTGAATGTTTATTTTTCATTTAAAATTTTTTAACCTTTGTATTTATAATATTTTCAAATAGTTTATAATTTTCAATATGCATTATGAATTTTTTCTCTTTTTTTCTAAAAAAAAAAAGAAAAGAGTGTGCCAAATATTTCGTAACTGCATTTCATTGTTACTCAGTGTATATAATCTATTGGGTGGTGCATAATTATCAAGCGTTTTTAAACAATATTTATTATAAAAAAAAAAAAGAAACATAATTCAACAATAACATTTTTAAATGTTTATACCAAAGTGTATGATTATTGACATGCATTTTTGTAACCTGAAAATAAAATATTTTTATTGAAAAATTTTATTAACAAATAACTTGCCTACAAAAACGCCTGATAATTATGCACAGACCCAATATTAATATAATCTTCAAACAGTTTGATATTTAAACTCCTCACAGATTAGAAGGGAATTAAAAATTCTGGCATGATGGCTGTTATTGACTCTAGAAAAATCTGGAAAAATAATAAAATCAACAAATAAAGGTATATTTAAAACTTATTAGGAACTTAATGCAGTTCTTCATTTCTTTTTGGCAAATTCATCAGTCACTTTGGTGTTAAAAAAAAACAAAAAACTCTATCATCATCATGATGCTCTGCTTTCATTTTCAAAAGGAATCAGCAACATACAGCACTACCATTTTTTTTCTTTTCTTATTTCTTTTCTCACTTGCTTAACTATAATCCCTCAACTTTCTTTCACTTTAATCTTCAACATTTTCTGTGCCTGTGTATAGAACTGGCATAGAAGTGTTGGGGGTATATGGAAGCAGTGACCTTCTCTGCTTACACTACTCTACTAATGTCACTTGTTCACAATTTATCCTAAGAAATGGGAAATTTTATAAAATTATCATGAGTACAAGGAGGATAGTAAAAATTATTAATATTACACAAAAAATATTTATCCTGGGGGGGAAAAAATCTAAGTCATGTGTTGCATATATGGACACTTCACCACTGAAATATACATTTTATAGTAATATAAAGAAGAGAAATTAGATCTTTCTTTCTTTTCTTTTTTTTTTTTTTCTCTCTCTACTTGTTAAATGGATCATTTATTATTGCTGTCAATTTCATTTTCAGGGTCGATTTCAAATTGATTTGACTGGAACTGGATTTGTTGTCTCAAGAAACACTCGTTGGATTACTACAGACCAAAGAGACTACAAGCAGATTAATTTTTCACAGGTTAAAACACCTTTCAATCTTTGTCATATAGCAAAATTGTCAAAGATTACTTCTTACTTTAATGTTTAAAGCTTTTAAACAATCTATATGAAAAAAAAGGGAAAAAAGAGTTGATCATTGTCAAGACAATGCAAAGAATCTTTTCCCTTAGCTGTATAGTCTGTGCTTTGTTAGGGCTACATTCAGTTTTCCTTCTAGACTGGTTGCCACCCAAGACTATAGAACCCAGTCTATCCTGCTATTTACCCATAGAGGTAAAAGACATGGATTCAAACCTTTCCCAATGGTATTAGCATGTAAATGAATGTAATGAACTCGACCGGAATTTAAACTCAGCTCTCTGATTCCTCAATCTAAGTTGCAATCCATTACTCTACCATGAAAAGAAAGACAACTTAATTTTTTTTTTCTTCACATTTGTATGGATGGCTGGTCAAATATGTGTCTGCTTGGGTAGCTATCTAACTCCTGTTGCATATGCCTTCACAGGCACATTTGTGTTTGTTCAATACCCACTGGTTTATACTGCAACTATGCTTAGCAGACCTTACTTTCTGAGAGTGAAGGAATAATCTAACATGATCAGTAGTTTGAACAAGGCCAGTACACTCAAACTCTCGCTCACAATGACTTGTGTTTTCATGTTAGCAGATCGGTCAACAGCTTCTGAACTGTTCCATCTACCTAATTTCAGTATCGTAGTTTGGATCATCTCTTGGTATGGTCATGGCACTTCCCAACACTGCCATATAATGGAATCATTTCCCCAGGCAATATTATCATGAAGTGACCTCTGACCAGTTAACTATGGGGACATTCATGTTCAGAACACTAACGTTCTAACCACTTGACCACATGCCCAATCTCTCTAATTTATTCATAGAAAAATAGAAATATTTTTTTTATAAATTCTCTTGCTGAAACAAAATAGAATTTTTGTCAGTTTTTTTTTGTATTATTTAGTGTCAAACATTCCTAACCATTCTATTATTACTGCACTTTGAATAAAAGAAATATTATTTATGTATCATTCTCTTTATGTTAATTTATCTTTTCACTTCTTACCTGTTTTGATATATACTGAGTGCGATGGATAAATTGTCGTCTAAATTATGCAAAAATGAAAATAATACTGACATCCCACTTTAACAGATATATTTACCAAAACTACACAAAAATATCTTGAAATACTAAAGAGTAAATTTATTTAATGAAATCGCCATTGGCTTCAACCACTGCCTCCAGATGACTTTGGAATCTCCTGCATCTCTTCTGGACAGTCTCCTTGTTTAAGTTGGTGAACGCAGCCATAATCCTTGCATTCATTTCATCTTTGGTGTTACAAGGAGTTTTGTTGGTCTCTTGCTCAGCTGTGACCCACACATAATAACCAAGAGGGTTGCAGTTTGGAGAGTTAGGTAGCCAGATGCAAGGGGTTATATAATCACAAAAATTGTCTGACAGCCATGACTGGGTTCTCCTGCTTGTGTGGCATGGTGCAGTGTCCTGTTGCCAGACAAAGGGTCTCCCAACAGCCACCCTCTTAATGTAAGCCTCCATGTTTAGTCTGAGGCCCTCACCAACAAACTCGGGAGTTATTTTCTTATCAGAACGATCAGTTAGTTTTCTGAGCTGCTGTACCATTAGACTCCTCCAACACTTTCCAAATCCTTTGCACTGTCCTCAGATTGACACCAAACACTCTGAAATGTTCGTATTGGAGCTTCTGGCATGAATGCCAAGCACTACAGCATGCCATTTCCAAATTTCTGGCAGAGTGAATTGCATCATGGTGCTATTTTTCTCACAGATGGTGCCCAACTGACCCTACTATACTGTACAGCCAACAAAAACAAAACACATAAGCAAAATTAAAAGATATAAAATGATGACAATTTACACATCGCACGATATATATATATATATATATATATATATATATAATATAAATTCTTTCAAACATGTTTGGTTGAATATCAGCAAGTTCTGTCTATCCAATTTTTTTGTAACTTTTTCCAATTACTGTATTATGCAATTGGTAAATTTACCAAAGTTATTTTCTTTTATTCTTTCCGCAAGTACTTTCAAATGTTATAACATTCGTTTTCAACAATTGTGTTTATGTAACTGTTTTCAGCTGTTCATTCTATAAAGGTATAAATGTAACACATGGTAAATTTTTTTTAGTAGGGGTCTATCACATTTTATTGTGGATCATCTAGAAATTACACAAATGACTGAATTTTTATTCAGTCTCATTATAAAAGCAGAGATGCTGATTATTAAATAACTTCTCACATCATGATGAGGCTGAAATAGAAATAAAATCTGATTGGTTAATTAATGCTGAACAACTACTTCCTGTTTTATTAATGAACACCAATTGGAACAATGTTATTTTATCAACTTTTCATTTGATGCTCTGTGTGTGTGTGTGTTCCTTTCATTTGATGTTCTGTGTGCTTCTTCCTTTCATCTATGTTGTGTACACACACACACACTATATATATATATATATATATATATATATATATATATATATATTTGTGTGTTAGTGCACCTGGGGACTGCTGTCCAATTTCATTGTGTATTGCACAGTGACAAGAAGAATAAATAATTTGATTATAAACAACATAAAAAAATTGCTATGAAAAATTACTAGCAAAAATATAATCTCAAAAAAGAATGATCTGCATATATTTAAATTTTACTTCATGATATTTAAGATATTTGAACACTTTTTTGTTTTAAATCCTTTTGAACATTTCCTTTGTACTTTTCTAGTTTTCTTTATTTTACCTTTATTTTTTCTCTTCATCCCAGAATGGAGAAGTGGTCCGTGGCTTGTGTGGTGGCAGGTGTGGAATTAAGTGCATTCCTGATCCAAACATTGGTTTACGACTGGAAGTGAGACATTAGTACATTGATATACAATCAAAGTAAGAAAAAGCTTTTGTTACTTATTTATTCATTTTAGACACCATTTTGTTTTATTCTACAAAGCAATAATGCCACCATTTTCTGGAAAAGAGGCCCTTCACTTTTAATTAGGATTTGACACTTGAACAACAATCTTTTGTAATAAGAGTAAACCTTTAATATTTGAGCTGAACTTGTTTATCTGAGCATTACCATCTGGTTTTTTGTTAGTTACCATTAGAAATTGGTATATAAATATTACTTTTGTTTTATTTTGGTAAATAAAATTTATTAAACTATACAGGATGATATTAATATACATCAGTAGAACTTTTTTTTCTCTTCAGAGAAAAATGTGTCAGACTGCCCCCCCTTTTTTTTTGTTTTTTTACAAAAACAACTTTCCAAATTTTGGTAAAAAACAATGACATTGAGAATAATTATGTTGTCAAAGACAATTGGATTGGATTGCTTTAAATAAAATGTACATCAAAGACCATTTTTGTTTTTATTTTAATCATATATTTGAAATATAAGCTCCTATATTAATATCCCAATCATAAAAAAGATAACTATATATACATTCCCAAAATGATCAAGTTGCCTAAAAAGATGACAGAAGATAATGGAACAAAACTATAAATATGTTGTTCAATTAAGTTAATGTAAAAAATAAAAACAATTATCTTTTAAATTTACTTAATAAACCAAATACAGGTTGACTATCACTAATTCAGCATCATTGGGACTTGTAGGGTGTGATTCTGCTAGATTACTAATGATCACTGTTGGTATATTAGTACACTTAACCTATCAGCTAACCACTTCATCTTACCTTTAAAATACCCTGTAAATAAGTACATGTTGATTAATGAAGGAAAAACTATTACCGTTATGGACAATGACGGAAAAACTATTACCGTTATGGACAATGACGGAAAAACTATTACCGTTATGGACAATGACGGAAAAACTATTACCGTTATGGACAATGACGGAAAAACTATTACCGTTATGGACAATGACGGAAAAACTATTACCGTTATGGACAATGACGGAAAAAAAACCGTTATGGACAATGACGGAAAAACTATTACCGTTATGGACAATGACGGAAAAACTATTATAGTTATGAACAATGAAGGAAAAACTATTATAGTTATGAACAGTGAATGGTGTCTGCATTTCACAGTATGAGAAACACTTCCTGTAGTCATTGGATTTATGACTAGGGCTAAATATTAACCGGTTATAATAAAAATGTGTAAAAGACAAGTAGAAATGCCTTAACAGCATTTTAGAGTGCACAAAAACAACCGATGCAGCAGCTAACACTACCAGACAGCAGTGGCATATCCATGCGGCAACCCAGGATTCTCATGGGAATTATAACTGGATTACTGATTGCCAAATTGGTAATGGTCAACCTATATACTTATGTTTTAGTTAACTCATAATATCTCTGTTCTGTTTTCAATAATCAATACTTGACTTAATTCCTGACAGAAAATTATGCTTTTCCCTGATTTTCAATGAACAGTACAAAAAGTACAGAAAATTCTTTGAAAAGATTTTAAGTAAAAGATTTTAAGTAAAAGATTTTAAGTAAAAGATTTTAAGTAAAAGATTGTAAATTTTTCTTTTCTCTATCATCAGAGATAATATATCAAATGACTAGTGGAGTAAGAAATGCCCAAACCTTGGCTCAGTATACTAGATTCAAATTCAGTTGGCACTAAAATACAGCTATGATCATTATTTCATTCCCTCCAAATGCCCCCCTCCCCACATATGCATGACTCGACAGCTTCCTTTCCTTTGTAGCTCATAATGTTTGTTCTTTTACTATCTCTCCCAGTCCTTATCTTGTCATCTATTTGCACAAACTCATTAAGTATGTCTCTTACTGTTTCTCTCTGTCTCTCTTGCTTTCAATGTCCTGTGAATATCAAATTCTCCAAGCCCCCTTTCCTCATTATGTGTCCCACAAATTTCAACTGTTGCCTTCTGATTCTAAATGACAGTTTGTTTCCATATCCCTTAAAAGTTCCTTATTGCTCATATGATCTTTCCATGGTATTCTCAGCATCCTTCTGTAGAACAAAATTTCTGCTGATCAAGTCCCTTGTCATCTCTGGGGAAATTATCCAGCATGCACTGCCATATAGGAGGATTGATATTATGTAGCAGTTGAACAATCTTTTCTTTGTTTTTAATGAAATTTTCCTCTTTCTTAATGCATTACTGTTTTTTTCTTTCTTTCTTTTTTTTTTTCCTTTTTTGTTTTTTTTTTTTCTCCTTTTTTTTCTCCTTTTTTTTCCTTTTTTTCTCCTTTTTTTCCTTTTTTCTCCTTTTTTTCTCCTTTTTTTTCCTTTTTTTTTTTTTTTTTTTTTTTTTTTTTCCTTTTTTCTTTTTTTTTTTTTTTTTTTTTTTGCTAGTTCCAATGAAATTTATGTCACGTTTTCTCTCATCTATTAAACCACTTCTCAGATAGCTAAATTTCTGTACATGGTTGAATTTGTAGCTGGCATACATTATGCTAATTTATTCTGTCTTACAATTGATAATTACTCTTTTCTTTTCACTTCCAACAGAATTTGTTATAACTATATACATCATCATTAGAAAAGCAAAAAGCTTTGATGTATTTGTTTAATAAATCCTATTCATGTCAAGTGTTTATAAACAATAAGTTATTAGTAGTAATTTATTAATTTCCTTATTATTGTAGAATCTATAAACACTAATATATGACATTTTTACCATCACAGATAATGTGCAAGATGAAATATGTAACTACTCTCAATATTAATAATTAATTAACCTAGACAATAATCTGAAACCTACAATAGAATCATGATTTCTTTTTTGTTTTTCTCTAAAATTTGGTCTTATATGCAGAGTTGCCCATTAAAACCTCATTATGATTCACACTGAATTGATTTGTCACCTAAGAAATCTTTTCTTTTCAGTGCAGTAAAAGAATTTACTGGACAAAAAGCTCAGGGTTGCCAAAAGCTCTACAACCAAAAAATGTACGTTTTTTTCATTGCACTTTAAAATAGCATTTTATTTTTTTCATATTGTTTTGTGCAATGAATCTGTCTCGTTTAAATTTTAACAATATTAATAATTTCAACAACAAAAATGCAAAAAAATAAAACAAATTTCTCAGAAAATTTTCATGAAGATCTATTTAAAAACAGCAAATAAGTCAACATTTTTATCTTAATCTTGAATGTTTAATTGTAATTATAATTTGTATTTCTATATATTGATACCTTCCTGTGTAAGGTGTGTTTCATACTCTAAATGAAAATAATAGTGTATAAAGTTTCATCCACTTTCAAAGATCAAGTGAATAAAGGGAGTAATTAAACTCAAGACAATTAGCTTATTATTTTGGTTTCCATCCCTTCTCTTTCTTTTTTTTCAACTACATTTCTCTTTATTTCTTTAGTCCTTTTATTTACCTTCTATCTTTCTCTCATCCCCTGCTTTTCCAAATTCTTTGTTCCTAGGCAGAGCATATAGATTTTCTGATCTTTTGGCTGAAATGCTAATTCATATATAATCCTATCAGGTACAATGCTAGTGTTCTTAAATAGGAAAGAAAAAACACTTTTTTTTTTTCTTCTTCTTTGCTTAAATGTTGTGGTCCTAAATGATGTAATAAAAGCTTTTCATTGAATTTTGGGATTATTTTTTTTTAAGTTGTGTATTTGCGACAAATTAACTGAAGCTAAATGAACACAAGGATGTCTGCACTTTGCATGTAGGTGGCCTTTTGCAATGCAATTCTTATGATACTATCAGCCATTGAATGTTTATAAGTTCAGTATGTATTTAAGGATTTGTTTGATGTGGAAGATTGTTGAGAAAAGATTGTTCAGCAACAATTTCACAGTGCTGGATTTAGTTTTTTCTTTCCTCAACTTTCTCAACAGTCTGTGCTTGTCTCACAGAATCAGCCTAGTTGCAAGAACAGACTTTTGATTTATTTATTTTTTTAATGAAGAAATCATGGCTTTGAAGAGTGGCTTCAGGCAAAGAAAATAATGGTTTTAGTTTGGCCTTATCAGTTGCCTGACTTAAATCCTACAAAAAATCTGTAGAACAACATTGTCAAATATTAGTGCAATGTCTGAAATAAGGGCAAATGACAAGTTATTAATAACACAATCTATCTGTATATGAGATTATTTTTAATGCATGTGGATTACAAAAAATTTTTTTTCAGAAATAATGAGGGTATATTGTGTAAAAGGAGAAATTAAAAAAATGTTTGCCTACACAGGAATTTGATAAATACATTAAAGTTTGCCATAGATCAAATTATTTCTGGCCAAACTTTATTTGACACCATATAAACAGGAAGTATGTTAACTGTTGCTATCCATCTAAATATGTATTTCTAAAAAAGATACCATGGGAGATGCTGGTGGCCAAGCAGTTAGTGGGAAGGATAGAATTTCATTTTATGTCTTACATTTGTTTTTGCAAATTTTTAAAAGGGTAAAATAGAAATATTTTAATTGCCTTGAAACAACACTTCTGATAAAATCCACATTTCTAGACTAACAGAAGATTGGCAGCATCTTTTTGAAAGCAATTGATAGAAAATATAGTCAATTTGTGCATTTGTATTCCTTTTATATATTTCAAAATCTGGGCAATGTTAGATACTTCTGCTACTTGAGCACCTTTCATATGGCAAGTATTAATGTTCTGTAAACATTCCTTACTAGGTGTTCTATGAATGTCACCTGGTACAAAAGTTAGTTCATCAAATATCTTTACAGAATAAAATCTTGTGCATGTATAAAGATGGCATTTTGTTTTTGTATGTTCTGTAGAATACCCCTAAAAATATTACATCCAACGATGCACAGTGATGTAATGTATTATGCCTCGGAATGAGACATCAGAGAGGCGAGTTTGAATTCCAGTCAAGTTCGTTATATTCACTTATGTGTAAATACTCCTGAAAAAAGTATGAATCTATCTCTTCTCCTTCCCCCACCTGTGAGTAAATAGCAGAACAAATTGGGCCCTCTAGACTTGGTTGGCAAACAGTCTAGGAGAAGGAAAATTCAAACTGACCTGGAGAGGCTTGTGCGCTGTCTGGTTATCTTACCCAAGACACACCATTGCTGATACAGCTGCAGTACATGTAGTGCTCCTATGACCCTCAGTGGTTACAGGACTTGTGATCAGTGTAATGGATAGTTGTTTGGAATGAGAAATTGAGGGTCAGAGGTGTATATATATATATATATATATATATATATATATATATATATATATATATAACATTACTTTTCACTTTGCACTGGATAAATAGTACACCTCCTCTACCAATCTTCTTGCTGGATGAATAGCATACACTCCCCACAAACCACATCTCTCTTTGCTAGATAAATACTTACCCCTTCCCCACATCTTTCTCTCCTCATTATTCCAACTCTGTTTCAAACAAAGTTTTGAGTTTTTGCTCACCTGTCTACTCATCAAAGTAAATTTTTTTCATGATGGTTAATAACTGAAACCTTCATAATTTCTTACAATAAAGAAGTCCTGTGTTTTTTAAATTTTTATTACAACAGTTTCATAATTATACATAATTTAAGTTGGAATAATATTACATTTGATATATCCTCCGTTCAAAATTCACAAAATAAAACACACCTTCATTAATAGTTGCATTAATTTATCAGCTAATGCTTTAAATACCTTTACTCTCTCTTTTCAGATGGAAAATTATACACACGGAAGATTAAAAACTACTGCCATCTTTCATTGTAAATAATCCATCCCAGAAGACTAATGCTTTTCTATTAGTCATGGTTATTTATTTTTTGTAAAACTTTAAAAAAAAAAAAAAAAGACAAAAAAAAAAGACAAAAAAAATTAAATAAAATCTACTAAAATTGTTTTTGCTTAAATAGATAATAAATTTATGAACAAAAAATATTGTAACAAATTAATGTACAAAAATATGGATGCTTTTTTTTTTTTTTTTTGTCTAAAAATATATTGGTGAGAAAATAATTCATGTACTGAATGTTTATACTTTAAAGTTATATTTTTAGTTGTTTATTCTTAGTACAGTTTTACTATGTTATTTTTTTTTTTTTTATTCTTTTCTATTTTTGCCATTGTATATTTGAAATACATTTTCTGTATGTTTATATTGTAAATATCCAAGTGATCATTATGTGAATGGGATATTCAATTTTGTTTGGAAATGTAGATAATCATGAAAATATAATTATAAAATATGAATGCAGGATTTCATTGGTTAATTTGAATACAAACTTTGAAATTTAGTTGTCATTATCAAGTGTATACACTTTTTAAAAAATTAATTAAACAAACTAATCTGTTTAAACAAATGCAGTGAAGCTTCACAAAAAGTGGAATTACAATTTAATGTCCGTGTTGAAATTGTTAATTCTAATATATAATCAGTATCATTAGAATGAAGTGTGCTAAATAGAATGAAAGTTATGACCAACATTTTGAGAAAATAATTGATGTGTAATTTGGCAGCCCACTTTGCTATATCAAGATATAGCAGATGATCTAGATAATAAAGCAATTAAAAATACCTTTTGTATTCAATCCTAACTTACCTTATTTCAACTTGGAAGAAAAAGAGCTTAATTTCAGTTTGTAACCATAAAGCTGGTTTCAGTAGAATAATCATTATGACTGTTTTTTGTCTTGTTTTATTTTTTATTTTTAATAACAACTGAAATTTTTTAAGAAAACAAACATATTTTAGTAAAATATACATATTTCATTACATATTTTAATGAAATGGACTTTTCTTTTTTTTTTTTTTTTTTTTTTAACTAATCAAAATTATGTTTAAGTTTCATTGGTCTGTATGTTAACCATGTACAGGTAGGTCCATTAATTTCATAACATAACCACAAGTTAATAGACTACTCACATAAGTGACCTACTCCAGGCATATCATTGTAGAGCAGTTAGAATGTTATTAACAAAATAATTGCCGAAAAATTATAAAAATTCATTTTGATAATTTTATAATGGTTTATGCAAATTAAATTTTATTTGCCACCCCACCCCCACATTCTAAAAAAAAAATACTCCTTTTTTTCTTCATTGCTAATTATAGGTTTTCCACCAGCAGCTCCCAGTCATAAAATAATAAATCTGTGATCACAATGAGTGCAATACAATCACAATACTTAAATGACATTTGAGGAGATGTTCAATTTAAATTAACAAGATGTTAAAAATTAAAATAATGTTGAGTTTGTTTTAATTCAATGCTACCATAATGTCTTTCAATACAAATTTGCAGAATGGATTCATGGTGCTAAAAGTGGTAACAAGCTGGCTTTTAAGACAATACTTAACACTTGCCTGACAAGCAGTAATCAATTATTTAACTGCATTGCAACTCGGAAGAAATCTTTTGGAAATCAAATATTAGTTCTGAAAGCAATTCAGATTTTAAAAATATCATAGCCCAAATAAACCTTGTAAGAGATAGCAATCACTACTTTTATAAATGTAATATATTTGATTAAAAATATATCTATTAAATGATCAACAATATATTAAGACTTACTTCCAAGTATAATTGTTAATATTCTGGCAGGAAAAAAAAAAATAACCAAAATAATAATTTTCAAATATATAAAAAAAATGTCATGTCAACTTCTGAAATGTTTTAAAAATATTTCTGTTCAGATCATTAATTAATATAAGCACATGACACCCCCACCCAATTTGATTTATTTTTTCTTTCTTTAAATATTACAATATGATTAACATAAATAGTAGAAAGGGAGAACTTTTTTTTTTTTACCTTTTTCCTTAACAATGTAAACAATTTAAACATAGTCATTGCTGAACTACAGATTGCAATTTGAACAAATTATACTGCTGTAAAGAGTGTTCATTCTGCTTTCTAACAGAACCAAATTTATGGATATATAACAAAGAAAGACACTTTTCTAAGAGATTCAAAGAATCAAAAAGAAAAAAAAATCAGATGGACTTCATTTAACAAAAAAAATCATTAAAACTGCCCACCTATTTCAGTATGAAATATCTGGATAATTTTTCCATGATTCCCTGTATTGGGATAATTTAATATCTGTTCATGATCCTTTCATATAACCCCCCCCCCAATTAGTGATTGCTTTGTTATGAATAAAATGGCAGGATATGTGAAATGAGTTTGAAACTTATTTTACTGCAGTCGTTTAAGAAATCATTTGAGTTGTTCATACCAAAATATGTCGATATTCAAATTGTATTAAAACCCTTTTTAAAAAATGTCTGGAGGAGTTATCACTTGCAATCAAAATGTCATTATTTTTTATTTTGTTAATTTCTTAACTTTTCTAAGCATTTAAAAAAAATACTAGAATACTAAATGTACATATTCTGTTTTGCTATATAAAATGACACTTTTTGGTAATGTTAAAAGTTGTACATTTTTAATGTTTTTCATTATATTAGCAATATATAGCAATATATAGTTAGAACATATTACAGTACACAATTGTGTGTATTAAAATACCCCTCTCTTATTTTTTTTATTTTTTTCCTCAGGTAAGAACAAATTGTTTCTATTGCTTGACTTCTCTATAATTTTCATCCGTTCTTTTCTGTACATAAAGTTTAAATTGTTGAAATTATAAAACTTGGGATTCATTGTGCTGAATAACTTCTTTTTTTTTTTAAATTTGTTTTTTAAAGATATCTGTTGAAAAATATGATTATAGCATTTACATTAATTTTGTTTAATAATTGTGGTTGATATTAAAATGTGAGACAATGTTAACTTGTCACAGTATTGTATTTACACACAGTATACAATCTAATATAGTTTTCTAAGTGAAAACCTTAAAATTCTTAAACTTTTATTTTAAATTTTAACCTATATATATATATATATAGTACTTTCCATTTATGAGCTTTTATTCCAACTCCTTGACTATTGATATTTATTTTGTAATTTTTTTTCTTTTCTGTACATAAAATTTAAATTGTTAAAATTATGAATCTTGAATTTGATTGTACTGAATAACTGTTAATTATATAAATATATTGTATACATACCTGTTATTGATGCCTTTTTTTCTATTTTGGAGATTTTCTTTTTTCCTTTAAAACAAGTTTGTGTTCATTTAAAAATTAATTTTCTGAAAAGTGCTGAGAAGTTGGTATGAATACAAACCATTTTTAAGTGATTCGCTTTTTCAATTGATAAGCAAAAGTTGTTTTTATGTAACTCTCCTAATCTCCAGAGTTGCTGAACTGGACTAAAAGTAGCAAGTTGGGATATATATATTGTTATTTGATAATTGTTTGTTACAGCAAAAAGATAAAATGTATTAAGTTTTTTAAAAGTCTCGTTTTTTTTTTTTTTTTTATTTAAACAAAAAAACAAAAAAATTATTCCCCAGGAGTCATCCTTTTGATAGGTAAGACTTATATTTAACCAAGAGGATGGACATTATTATCCTTGCAGTTATGGATGCCTTTAAACTTCAGTTGTTACTATTGATGCCTATTATTAGTAGCAGTGTAATTGCCTGTTAGCCATGTGGAGTATAGGGCTCTAACTTCACAATACTAGGTGTTGTGGTTTTCATCAGTACATTTTTCTGAGGTGAAGTTTCTATCCACCAATGCCCAGTTTTGAATTTAAAGTTCTCCTTCTCCTATATTATTTGCCAACCAAAGCTAGAGAGACCAGTTTGCCTTTAGCTTTGGGGAAGAGGTAGGAATTAATAACCTTTCCAATTGTAACACTACCTACTCAGCGAGCATTTGAAGTAACTAATTAAATTCAGTTTTTTTTTTTTTTTTTTTTTGGTCTTTAAAAAAAAAAAAAAAACATAATAAAAATAATCTATGCAAAATTATGACGCTTTAGTATATTTAGTATATACATTGTTATCAATAAGATTTTGTTTTTCTTTTCTTTTCCATTTGGCAAAAGAATTAAAATATTGTAAGGGCTGATTACTGTAACAAAATGGTCATATATGAAAATGTTATTTTACTAATCTGTACTTTCACAACTTTTCACAAATATCCTTGGGAAAGATATGAATCCATCTCTTTTTCCTTTCTACTATGGTCTCTCTTGACAACCAGTCTAAAAGGACAACTCTTAATTAAAACTCATTTGTAATCCTGATGTGACACATACTGAAAATATGGGATTTGACAATTCATTTCTGTGCAGGGTTGTGGACTAATGCCAAATAAAGGAAGAATATATTTTTTAATCATTTCACCCTAAGCAAGGCAATAAAGCCACTAAGACACAGGGAGTTACTGAGTATGAAAGAATATAAGGAAAAAAAACATTATTAAAGAGTGAAACTGATAAAAGAACAGGAATTAAGAAGATAAAACATCACAATTGATATTGCATTTAAATTTTTGAAGATTAAACTTGACTGGAAAGCAAGAAACCAGAAGAGTTCCACAAGTGAGAAGTGTGAGAGAAGAAACTGTTAGCATAGAACTTATGGTTACATGTAGCCATTTCAATTAAAATCATGAGACCTTGCCACTAAACTAGTACTGCACTTAAATTCAATAGTCTAGGTAACATAGAGCAAAGTTCATCAGAAGAATTACCCTGAAAGTATTTATAGAAAAGGCACATAGTTACATTATTGTGATGGGAAAGTGAATGAAGTGAAGGACCAATGACATTTGGATCTTAGTGAAGATCTCTAAATCCATTGCAGGAGTAGCAGGGCAGATTAAGTAG